GTCGGGAGGAAAATCGTTCCCGTGGAAAGTCCTTACCGGTGGGGGCGTTAATTCCGGCAGTAAAGATTTCACGCGGAGACGGGAAGTCCTCTTCGAGGCGTCTCGCACCTGTTAAACCGCGTTAATTACGACGGCCGAATACGTCGGTCGGGATTATCCGGAGCTCCGCCTCGAGGAGACCCCCTCGAGGTATCTCGATCCCTGAGGATCGAGAAACGAATCCAATAAATCCATTATCCCCCGGCGACCGTAAGCCGTGGAGAATCCGCTCGAGGATCGCGTGCCACGACACCGGGGAACCAATTGCTTCCAAGGAATGCCGCCCGGGGCTGCGTTTCGCGGATCTCTCGATGGCAGCCCGATGATTCCCTCGGAGCACGAACGAAGAAACGACCGCTTTGGAAGTCCAGCCGAGACCGATCGACCGGGTCGTGCCAGGAACCCGTCATAGCTGCCACTTAAATCGGGAATTCCAAGGATGGAGATCGTTTAAAGGATCCGGAAGATCCGGAGCATCGGGGTCGCAGGCTTAGATCATCGATCTTGATCCGAAGGGTCTCCGAGATTTGGGGCACCTCGATGGCCTCGATCATCCCGGTGATCCCGATGAGACTCCCCAGGGTCGGATCGCCGAGCGGAAACCGCCCCAGGGCGGCGACTCCAGGGAAAGGACTCGGAGGAATCGAAAAACGAGAAGGAGAAAGACAGAAACGGGAACGAGGGACGCTCTTAATAACAGCTCTGGACCGCATAAGGCCCGAGATCCTATCTCCCGAGTGGCTGTCTTTAGGGCCGGCGATCCTGCGCGTATTAAAATGTTAATCCGCGCACCACCACCGGTTACGCGAGTCCGACCATCTAGCTACCAATTTACCTACACCTACCTTCGCGATCGTCTAATCGAGTGCCACCTCCACTTTATTTCTTCCTGATTTATCCCCTTCGATCCCTATCCCCTTCATCCCTTCATTTATCGCCGGCCTTTCTCCCAAGTCGATCGAAATCTAGAACCGATCATTTCATACCTTGATTACCTTTCCTTGAATTTTTTTTATTTGAGGGCTTTCCCGCGTTACCGCTAACTAGACGAAGAGTCATTTTCTGTTTGACTCTTTACTCCTTCTCCTCGACATCCCCGCCCAGCATCTCCAGTTTTCTTCCTCTAAATATGCACGTATATATATCCGGTTTTATCTCTCATCGACACTCCATTCCCGCGTTCGGTATTCACCGTCTTCGAGGCCTCTTTTGCGTTTATTTGCCCCACTATCGGTTTTCCGCATCCCTCGTATATTTCCCCGGGTCGTCCTTCCGTGTATAGAATTATCCGCGGTGAATATCCTTCGAATGTCGAGAAATATCCCGTGGGAAGTTCTCGACTGGCCTCTTGGATATTATTTTAAAAATCCATATTCCAGGGGTTACCCTTCTTTCCGGGCGTCGCATGTGCTCCCATGTTATATTGTACCTGTTCTCCGGTTCTCAGTGATCTACGGAGTGCAAGTGTCGCTTGGAAAACGGCGAAGAATCGGAAGGCTGAAAATCCATTTTCCAGGAATCGGCCGCGAAAATGGCGGATCCAGGGGATCGAGAAGAGCCCTCCGGGGAGGCCGCGGTCGGCGCGTCGCCGCGAGGCCGACACGCTCGATAGATCCTTCCCGGAAAGCGTCACCTGGGACAGGTGCACCTCCTTCCGGGGGCGTTCCCCGCGGGAAAGGGAGAAAAACTGGGAGACCATGTCCAGCCTGGCGAGGCGGAGGCGCACCGCCGTCTTCGGCTCCCGCAGGTGGTGGCAGGGAGGCTGCTGGGCCACCAGGTAGCGACGAGCAAAATCGGTCTTGGTCTTGCAAGAAAAAAAAAATATATATATATATGTATCGCAAGACTAAGATCAACAAAAATATAATCGCAAGACTAAGATCGAAAAAATATAATCGCAAGACCAAGACTATCGCGGTCTTCCATTTACTCGTCGATGACGAAGAAAGTCGGTCTCGGTCTTGCAACAAAAAGAAAAAAAAATGTGATCACGAGACCAAGAGCAAGACCACCCTGGTCTTGGTCTTGGTCTTGAATCCGCTCGTCGCCACCACCAGGAGCCACCAAGAGGCCTACCTGAGGAGGCTCTACGCCAGGAAGAACGTCCAGGGCAGGCAAGACCCGCCACCCTCCACCTGGTCCTCCCCTGCTGTCTACGATCTGCCCACCACCGACGAGCACTACCTGGACGCCTTCCTCAGGAGTCGACGTCCCGGCTCCGAAGGATGCGCCGCCCTTTCCACCCCCAGGGCCAGTCCCACCGAGAAGTGCGTCGAATTCCTCAACGGGGTCCGACCTGGAGAGGACTTCACCTGCCGGCAGGTTAATGCGACCGGCGAGCGTCCTGGTGGCGTCGCCGAGGACCTCGGGATCCTGCCCGAAGGGTTCGAGCACGCGGAGTAAGTCCTGCCGTGTGGGCATTGTCCTGGTAAAAAATCAGGACCCGGGTTGATATTCAAATTAATGAAATAAATTAATATCTGCCCCACTCTTCGTTCTTAAATTAAATTCACGGATAAATTCTGCTCTCTTTTTTTTTTAGACTTGCAATCAATTTCGACCTTTTAAGAGGAAGGGTCGGTTTGACGACTATTTCAGGACTCGCTGGTGGAGGCAGGATAAAAGTGAAGGGATGTTAATTCGTTTAACAATTGGACAACGAGACTAGATCGAGGCGGGGTATTGTCCCAATTAGCAGCCGGCCAATTAGCGCAGGTGGATAGAAATGCCCGTCGAAGGGGACGACGACGTCGGAATAGACGGAAAAACTGGAACGACCGCGTGTACCCTTGGATTTCTTTTTCTTCTCCTTATCGTCGTCTCTCCTTCGAAGCGTCCTGCGGTGATAATGCCGATAAAAAAGGGGAACGACGTTAATTCGACTCGATTATTGGCCGATAACTTGCGCGGAAATTAGGGCGTTCTTTCGTTCCCTAATCGAGGCGACAGTGAGGGGTTGTTTTTTTTTTTTCAGGATAGCCTCCTTCGTTCCGAAGAAGGGATCCTTTTGAAAAGGGAATCGCTCTATCGGCGTCCATTAATTTCCAAGTATATCGATAATATTTCCCGCCACCTGGGGGGGCGACACCCCGCGACTGAACAAATGAGCAGGAAGAGAAGGAGCCCTCGATTATTACCTAATAATTTCCATCGCGGTCCCGGGACTCGTTTTGGCCTCCTGTTAATTGGCCATCGCCCAAGGCGCGATCGGTTTGTAAAGAAGAGACGACGTTATAAAGCCATGAAGGAACGCGCAGAAATGCCGCCGCCACTCCGCTCCGGTTTTCCTTACGTCCAACGAAATAATCCGGCCCTCTCGCAGATGCACCTGCGGAGCCTGGAAAACATTTCAATTAACCGGGCGAATTAAATTAACGTTGTAACTCAACGTCGGGAATTTTCGCCTGAACTGTGCGAAGGTGAAAAAAAATAGATCCTGTATGTCGAGACTCGTATGGTAATAACGGGGACGTGGAAATATTTCCTAGGGGTGGGGGAGAGTCGAGGGGATTAAGTTGATCGAGTCCTTTCCCGGGATTTCGTCGGGATTATTAATTTTCGAATTTACAAGTCGGAATCCCGGGACTCCGCTAACGAGGCCGGTTCGAGGCTGGAGACTTCAACGCGTGTTATAATTTACCTCGGCGTACCCCGCGGCTCTCGAGTCGTTCCCTCGGGATCCTAGTGGTCCTTTCGGCATCTTCCTTCCTTCGGGACGTCTCGGGTGCAAGCCTATCGATTTCATTAAGCCCGATCGACACCGCTCGCTCCCTTTCCTCCGGCTTCGCCTCGGGTTTTGATTTACGAGCCGAGCATTCGCAGCCATTAGTCCGTGCTAAACCTAATTGGAATTCAAAGGCACATGCCCGGTTTACGACTAAGTACCCAGCTATTTATAAAGTGCCCCTTTCTGCCCTCCCTCGCCTCGGGAGCAAAAGTCGTCGAGGGGGAACCAACCCTTAAGGCCCTTTAAGGCCCTGTCGACGGACATCCTTGCCGGGTCTAGAAAGCAGGGGATATAAAAAGTACAATTACCTAATCCTCAGTATTTTCTGACCATCGTATAAAAATTCATACGAAGAGGTCTGATATCGACGGTAACGTTCTCTTAATGTTAAAAATCTTCAGCCCTGCTTCCTGAATTTATTACAATTATTTTTAATAGCACAGAGGATATTTGTTTTCTAAGCGATAGGGATAAGCTCGTTCGCGGAGCGCTTCAATGACGGGATCGGTGATAAGACTCCACAGGTGGTTCCGCATATATACTTTGGGATGTCATCGAGGTAGAATCGATCGATCTCCCTGGAACCGGTGCACCTTTTACCGCGATACCGGGGGATTAATTAATGAATAATCGAAACGGTAGGAAGCCCCTGGAAGATCGCGAAGGCGAGACGGATTTCTATATCCGCTCGCCTCCCCTTATCGGTTTCACGACGCTGCTCGAATGGGGATTTAAATGACAGGCCGGTGATAAAGCTCCACAGGTGGTATCGTAATCTGACGAGTGCTTCCCTTACGACGCCGTCGAGGATGCAGGATCAATTTTGCTCCTCGTTTCCTCCATCGTTAGGCCTTTCGCCCCCTTGTCCTAAAACGCCACCCTGAAGAAATACGCGGAACAATTACACGATTAATCTAGGATTCTTAAATGAAAAAAAAAAAAATTCCCAATTGTCTCACGGTTATTCTTGAGGTACTTAACATCGCCCTGACGTGGTTGCGAGTAAGGATCAATTTTGCTCCTCGTTAGGCCTTTCGCCCCCTCGTTCTAAAACGCCACCCTGAAGAAATACGCGGAACAATTACACGATTAATCTAGGATTCTTACAATTAGAAAAAAAAAAATTCCCAATTGTCTCACGGTTATTCTTGAGGTACTTAACATCGCCCTGACGTGGTTGCGAGTAAGGGGAATTCGAGAATCGGAGTCTAAGGGTCTCGATCTTTGCTTTCAGAAAAGTCTGCAGAAGCTGCAGGTGTCCGAGAGAGGACCACCGGAGGGTGCCATCGGACGCAGGCGCGGCTTCGAGCCTGGCCCTGAGCTCCAGCTCGCAAATGGCCATGGCGATGGCCTTCCAGAGCGGCGGGATAGGCCCTCACCAGGAGCCCTTCAAGAGCCCCGTGCAGGCGGCGGCACCCCCCGTGGCAGCTGCAGCTGCAGCGGTGCAGCCCCTTCAGGAAGCCCTGGTGCACCACCAGAGGCACTCCCAGAGCGACGACGACAGCGGATGCGCCCTCGAGGAGTACACCTGGGTACCTCCCGGCCTGAGGCCGGATCAGGTACTTTGCTATTTATTTCTTAATCTGAATTTAATTTCAAAAGAATGTACATACGTATCGCTCAAAAAGCGGGCATTTATTTCTTAAGATAGCGCTAATGGGATTAGCGGTATATCGATACCCTCCTCGCTGTGCATTTTTGCAAGTACGCGGTTTAAGCATTAAAAAGCCATAAACTCGAGGAATGCCCAGTAGTCATTTTGAGCGATACGTGGGAACCGCGAAATATCGTCGATGGCAACTCGAACCGTGAGATATCTCGTTATCCGGAACGTCTGGGAAATCAGCGCGTTAAACGTTCCTGTCGAGTCTGCTTAAATACGAGTCGAATCGAGGTGGCCTAACGAGAAGTACCGAGGAACTCGTTCCAGCTTGTGGTGACCGTTCGAATGACACCTTCCGGGTCCATTTTAACGTTCGCTTCTTCAAGGTCCATTTCATCCTCTGGTACTTCCAGGGCACTTAATCGTTGGTACTTCCAGGTCACTTAATCGTTGGTACTTCCAGGTCCACCTCTACTTCAGCGCCCTGCCGGAGGACAAGATCCCGTACGTGGGGAGCGCAGGTGAACGGGAGCGCGTGCGACAGCTGCTGCAACAGCTGCCACCCCACGACAACGAGGCTCGCTACTGCAGCGGCCTCTCCGAGGAGGAGAAACGCGAGCTCAGGGTGTTCGCCGGACAGAGGAAGAGGGAAGCCCTGGGCCGAGGACACGCCAGCCAGCTGGAGAACGCTCATGGGACGGGATGCAGGGAGTGCGGACGAGGGATAGCCGCGGGGGAGATGGTCGTCGGGGCCAGCAGAGCGGGTCCCTCGGCCCTCTGGCACCCTGGCTGCTTCGTCTGCTGCATCTGTCGGCAACTCCTCGTCGACCTGATCTACTTCTGGAGGGACGGTCGACTCTACTGCGGACGCCATCACGCCGAGACTCTCAAGCCCAGGTGCTGCGCCTGCGACGAGATCATCCTCGCCGACGAGTGCACCGAGGCCGAAGGAAGGGCCTGGCACATGAGGCACTTCGCCTGCCTCGAGTGCGATAGACAAGTGAGTCTTATCGACACGTCCGGAGGAAACTTCCTTAGAACAATTTTTTTATGTCTTGGATGATTAACTCTGGGGATAGATATTAATAAAACTCTCAGGGTTCATCGGGAAGGGAGTGACCGACGGGGGGGACGAGACTTACCACCGCGGGAGGCCATCGCAGAGGAAAATGCTTCCAATGAAAGTTCCCCGGGGTGAAGGGAGGAACAACTTTTGTAGGAAGCGTTTTCTTCCAGATAGATTCGTTTACTTGGAAATTGACTTTGCAATGGGCCGCGACCCGCGGGGGTACACTCGCGTGACCGACAGGTGGGCGCGCTCTCCGCGTAACCGGCTCTATCGGTGGGCGCGGGAAAGAAGTGCCCCGGACGAAAGTTGTCCGGTATAATATACGGAACAACTTTCGTAGGAGGAATCGTTTCGTACCTCGCTCCGGTCAGGCAGAAATTGCGTTTATCCGCCGCGCGGAAAGTGCGGTTACGAGCCGGCCGCGGAGTAAGTACACGTGAGTTGCGAGGGGTCTGACATTGATTATTCTATCGCAAATCTTCTCCGGTATTTATTGCCGGCACGGCGGGCAGAGCTCGGGAAGAATTCTACTAGTCACGCGGGCATACGTCCGGAATATCCGGCTGGATTTCTCCGGCAAACTCCGATACCTCTGCCAGGCACGCACCGAGAGAAATTAAATGTTACAGTTACCCGTTTAAACGTTAATCAACTGGTCGATCCTGTAATAGCTCCCTGGCTCCAATGGTCACCGAGATTATTAAGAGACTCCGTTAAGAGGATAACTGTAACTGTCCTTTTCGTCCTATCCTTCAGTGGGCATCGCAATTTACCCGGGATTTTTCTTGCACCGGGTTAGTTAGCCGACAACGCATCAAACTGGAAATTAACAATTAACCAAATTATACCGTACGGAGAAAATGTTTGCGGATGGCGCGTATCGAGCGTCCGACATCTGCGGAAAATTCTAGGTGGGGTTTAAGGATGTACCAAGATTTAAAAATATAAAAATGTAAAAAGTATGCAATACAAATGCAAGAATTTCACAAATATGTAGATACGAACCGTTTGTAGGTAGAGGGGGATTGAAAATTATTATATATTTTGCTTTTTACAGCTCGGAGGTCAACGATACGTCATGAGAGAGGGGCGGCCATATTGTCTGCACTGCTTCGACGCGTCCTTTGCCGAGTACTGCGACAGTTGCGGAGAACCGATTGGCGTCGACCAGGGCCAAATGTCTCACGAGGGCCAGCACTGGCATGCCACCGAATTGTGTTTCTGCTGTGCTACGTGTAGAACTTCCCTCCTGGGTCGGCCGTTTCTGCCCCGCAGAGGTGCGATCTACTGCAGCATAGCGTGCAGCAAAGGGGAACCCCCGACGACGCCGAGCGACTCTTCGGCGGGACTTCCACCCCCGCCTCCGCCTCCGTCATTTCCTAGGTAGATAGTATCGGTTTTATTCCTATTAAGATCGCATAGGATTATTTTATATCCAGTACTCAAGGGATATATTTCTTGGACGGCGTTTATTGAAGACCGATATTAATTTTTGTCAGAGCCGGCAGGAGGCAACCACCCCCCAGCGAAGGGTCCTCCAGTCCACCTCCTCCCCCGCCGTCGCTTGCCTCCTCGAGACACCCCATGGGGTCGCCGAGGAACTCCCCGAGGATGCCGAGGAAGCAGCAGCATCAGCATCAGCAGCATCGACAGCAGCAACAGCAACAGCGTCGGTTCCAAGACTCCCTCTCGCTCGCGACGACGCCGACCCAGGGAACGTCCACCGTCGATTTTCCTGGCGACGCCCTCGGCACTTCTGGGTCCAGGGCGAGTGGCCTCGACAGGGTCTTGCTCGAGAGGAACCTCGAGAGGCTGCTGCAAGAACGGAGCACCTTCACCGAAGAAGCCCACGGCGAGCTTGGGAGGTTCGCGCGAGTTGCAAATAAGATCTATAAAAAAATCGATTAACGGTAGAATTAGTTTTTTGATCGTATCGTAAAGTAGGAGGAGGATGTTGTTTTAATTTAATAAGGTGGAATTCTTTCTTCAGGTTGATGCAGGCGAGAGATCGGGAACCCCTGCGATGTGCGCCGACCTCCGTTCCAAGCCACGCATCGAGCATGCCGGAACTGCTCTCCGCGTCGATTCCAACGTCGGTTCCGGTTCCACCTTCGTCGCCCCCGCCACCTCCGCCCTCGCCACCTCCGCCTCCACCTCCGCCTCTTCCTGGACCGTCCCAGCAGCAGAACTTCGGCTCTTTCTCGGCACCTGGTACCAGCTCCTCCACGAGCAACCAGGCCGACCCGTCGACGCCGACGTCGAGACGCGTCCGATTTCAGGGCGACGACCCGACGCTGGCCGTGGCTTCCACGTCGTCCATGCCGACGGAGACGCGCCCTTCGCCTTCGTCACCTGCCGGAGCCAGGGTGCCTCGATCCTGGAGCCTGCAGCCGGAGGAAGTTCCTAGCACCTCGTCCTGGGGTCGGTGCAGATTCTCTTTATTAATTTAAATGCAATGTTAAGAATTAAAGTATTTCGTTGTAACGTTTGATCTGGAACTATCCGTAACGAGTTTATCGTTTCCCAGGTGGAGGCGCGTCGAGCAGGTGCAGGTCGAGGGCGGACGATCAGGAGAGCTGCTGCTCGACCTGCAGCACGTCGAGCAGCTCCGACGAGGCCACGGCGTACACCTTGCCACCTAGAAGAGCTTATGGAGGAGTCAGGATATCCTACGTGCCGAACGACGCGGTCGCCTGTGCTCGTCGAAGAGCTCCGTCGCAGTCCTCGCCCCAGTCGCACCAGAAGGACGAGAAGTGCGTCGTCTCCTGATCGTACCTGGCCGTCTCGACGCCTATTTATTGCACACCCCGCACTTCCTCGAGGGCGATGTCGCATCCGGAGACTACGAGCACCTCGGCACGGGACGTTCCTCAAAAAACCCCGTCGACGTGCCTTTTGCATACCTAGGGCTCACCGGACTTCGCTTTCCTCGAAGAAGACGAACCAGCCGTGCCTGTACATACTTTACACTGCAGCGGGACTGTTTATGACATTGCCAGTGATTTTTTTACGCCGGAAACTCATGTACAAACGTCATTGTATGCTGGTGAACGCGAACGTCTTCCCTGTCGGTATGATTTCTTCAGGGTACGAAGGGAAGGCGTACATAGCCATCGTTGTACCTGCGACCCTGTATCCTGTACATACGCGACGACGCCACCCTCGCCCAATTTCCTAGCGAGAAGGGACTTATTATTAATTTCCGACGCGACCTTGGCATCGTTGCTCCCATTATTATTGTTATTAATATTATTATCGATCCCATTGCCACCAGTACGACTGTTTTCATTTGCATCCCTCCGGAATCTCGGTACATTTTCCGCGGTTTCTGTAGATTAATTTACTGTCCGAGGGAGCCTGTCGGGCGTTGAAGTCTCCCGGCGGAGGAAACGACGTAACGTCTTGACCTTAAATAATTATTTAATTTTTCATTCTCTCAATGATGAAATTTATGGCCCAGGGAAGGATTACTTTCTTTCACTGAAACAGATCAAGTTGCGACTCATTGTTCGGCCTGGAATTAATTTGTAGTCACCGTAATGACGAGTGATTTCAACGCTTGGCAGGCGCCATTGGAACTGTAATAATGATCGTTAATGTAACGGCCGATAAGTGAAAGCCAACAATCAGAGCGAAGAAATCGCGAGGAAGAAATCCTACATTGTTTTAATTTAAATTATGGTGATCAACCTGCGTGTAGTTGTACTTCTTGAAATCCGCGAAACGCGATTTCGGAAAGTATCGAAATTTCTTCGGGAAGGAAAATAATCTCAAGTGGTCTGGATTTCTGGATTTCCGGATTCCTCTCGTTGAATCAATTTCTGAGTTTTTTAAAGGACAATATCTATAAATCGCTTCAACGGTCTGAAAATTTAACGGCGTCCGGTTTGTACAAGAGCGAGTAATGTAAATGGAGTAATGGTAATGGATAATGGCTTCACTCGGAATCCCCGAAGAATAAACGAAAACGTTCCCAGCCAAAGAAATCAAATCGCAATGATTAATTCCCTTTGTTCTCGGCAGATGGAAACACTCGAGGGAGGATGTACATCGATGCAACCCCTTTTTGGAAAAGCGTGTAATGAATAAAGATCGACTTTACATAAGCATTACGCACGTGAGTAATCTACGCCCAGTATTACCCTTATCTCCATAATAATGACACTTTCATTAATTTATTTCTGAACCAAAATAACTCCTGAGAATAATTTAAGCTAGACACTCATGTACAAATAAATTCTTATCGGAGTGAACTAATTTTTATTTTTGTCCGCCATTTCAGTTGCCGTCTCGCCGTTCTCTCCTCAGACTTTCCTCCTTCATTTCTCCCATCTTCGTAATTATCCAACCGAGATTGCAAACCTCACTCAATTTGCAGTCCCATTTCCGCTTTTTCGCAACTTGTATCGCCACTTCGCGGTACATTTCACGGTCAATTTGAGAGCGAATCTAAAGAGGACTACAAAAGTGTGCCGTGCACCTGCAATTGTGTGCACTTATAAATGCGCCTCTGTACGCTTACTTGCGAGGTTTCCGCTTTCTCCTGCAGAGTCGATACCTCCGTACGAGTTTGCGGTGGACATTCCTCGAGAACTCGGTCGTGACGAACAAGGTCTTCCCATACAAGTTCTTGTACCCCATACGACATCGAAGTTCCGCGAACATGGCGGAGAGAGTTCCCAGCGATCTGAGAATGCGGAAGAAAAATCCCCGCCATTTAATAAAGTCATTAAAGAGAAGAAGAAAAAAAAGGATTAAAAATACACGAACATTCACTCGAACGTGTACTTACAAGGGACGTACTCGATAAGGAGTATCTATTTTATACGAGAGACAACAACCTCTACTCGTGCCGTTTAAAAGGCATTAATATTTACTACGAGGTTAATCGAGCAATTAAAGTATTTCCTTTTTTATCCAGTCCCGTTTGACACGGTCGAGAAACCTCCCGGAGATCGATTCCGTCCCCCGGGTTTCTCTAAATCGGCGCTCCTTTATTTTCAAAAACGCGTCCAAATCGCAGGCCCTGAGCACGCATCCGCGTCTCCTCCGAGCGCGATTACTCGGCGTTTTCTCCGCTAGAAATGGGCCCGTAAAATCAGTAAATTATCGACGGTAGTTGGCCAGGTTTCCTCGACTTCATTTTCTGCCGAGACGGAGAAAATATCCACGGCGCCCGGCGGGCCGTTTTCTTTTTATTACCGCCATTATAATAAAATCCCCGGTATTCTTAGGAAGACGCTCGGCTAGGAAGGCGCATAAATCTGCGCCGGACGAGACGAAGACTCGACGCTCCTAAGTGCACGATCAATTCCCCAGGACGACAGCGTTACGGCAGAGTAAAATCCCACAATGGACTGCGAACCGTTCTTAATCCCGGGATTATTTACAATAATTACCGAGGTCCAAACTTCCCTGCTTCCATCCACGGGGGTTAAAGAAATCCCACCTGAAAGGGAAGGCCGCCATTTTGGTATCCCCTTTACCTCGACCGAATTTCCCGGTAATTCTTTTTCTTTTCACGGGTTGATATCGCCGAGACAAGGCCCTCGGGTGGGTGGAAAAGAGAGGAAAGAGGAGCGAGAAAAAAACGCACGCCTAGGCATGCCGCCATTGCGCACGGTCCCCCTGATTTCATGAACCGTGACGGGAATGCCAGGTACAGGTATCGCAGGTATTGGCGGGTACCGTGCCCCGAAGATGCCGGCGAGTGTTCCGAGGTGTTACATGGCGTTGCATGCCGATGTCGGTGCCGTTACACGAAATTCTGGGCGCGAGTCCAGCGGGTTTATTAACGGGCCCATCCCAGCTCGAGGCGGCGTCGGGGCATTACGGGGCATAGACGACGTAAGAGGCTTTCTCCGAGTTCGAGTTCGCCTGGAATGCGCCTCTCCCTGGAGCCCTCCCTGCCTCTCCACCAGGACTTGTCGAAGTCGAGCCTTCACCGCCAAAGTCAACGACATTGTCGCGCGCACTCCTGCACCGGTTACGAAGGCTAGAAAGTGCATCAATGAGCGGGATTACGCGTGAACATCGAAACATAAAAAATGATTACCTCTTCCAGATGAGATCCCGAGACCGCGCCTCCAAGAGTCGGCATTTTTCCCTGGCAACCCTCGGTCTCTGGAAGAGGAGTCAGGACCGACCACGCGTCGAAGTCTCCGCGCAAAACCCTGCAACGCAGACGGTGATTTATCATCGAAAGTTCCAAGGCAGGAAAATACCGTGTTTACGAACCGATCGGGTGAAGAAAAAAAAGGAGTCACACGTCGAGGCCTGCGGCGCATAATATCCTCGATGGGCCAGGTCTTCCGTAAGCAGGTGCACCGTGCAAAGAGGTCGACCCGTTTCTCGATTCGGATTCGCGGAGAGCTTCGACCTGCCTCGAGAAATACCCGTTCGGATGTTCACACGACTCGTTTACGATCTCTCCTCGAAGAGGTCATCTCTTCGTTGGAATGCCTCCACCTGGAAAGCATATTCGGGAGATTCCGATTCCTGTGAATTTTGAATCATTTAAATCATTTAAATCCCTACCTGCCGCGCGTCGAGGTCTCCGCCATCTTGCCTCGCGTGGGGCCGACGCGCCCCGAGTCGCCTTCATTTTTTAATCGCTAATTCAAACGAACAATTCCCTCCCGACGTTCGTCGCCTGTTAATGATCGCCGGATGACGTGTCGCTAATCGCTGCGGAAGAAAGTGTCACGATTATTGTCGCATTGATTATGAAAGGCGAGTTTGCAAAGCGTGCGGTGCCAGCCTGTACCAACCGTGCTGGGCAGGTGTAAGACGCAAGGGGGTCAATGCGTTTCTTGACTCGGATTCCCGCGTCGTTCCGACGTCCAGGAGCGTTTCCAGACGCATAGATACACCTTTCCATTTCCAGTACATCGACTCGCGAGAGGCGAGAGCCGATCCTCATCCTTGGAATTCCTCCACCCGATACTTAGACGCCGTTGGGAAATTCTCTTCTGGCCGCCCGCGACATGCGGAATCCTCCACGCGTCGAACTCTCCTAATGGCGACTCCATGGCCCGTCCTAAAAAATCAATCACGAGTATTATAAACATCCATCCCTGACAATCCGAAATTCTACAGATTCCGCGACTCTTTGCAAATGCGGGGAAATTCTCGCAACCGGTACCACGGGTATGACTCACGCGTTCAGCTCCGAAGTGTACATTGACTCCGCAATTGGTCCGCGGAGATGTAATAAGTGCGAACACGCGAATCGGCGATCCCTGAATAATGATTTCCTCTCGACTTATCTCGGCAAAAACCAAGTACGGTAAAATATCCCGCAAATAAAATGATACCCCAATGGCCGAGATTTTCCAGCTACCGAGGGATCTCCGGGTAACGGGTTCCTCGGCTAAAAATTCCGCATAACGGGAGGAGATCCATATCTTCGTTCCTTTAATTTTTCTGGGACGGACCGGAGGGGAGACGAGGTCTCGAATTAAATATCCGCGGTCTCGGTGGAAGAGGAATCCCAAAGAATCTCCCGCAAAATTACGCTCTGCTTGGGGCCTCCCGGTGATACGAGCCGTTGCTGGCCAATTATGCAAAGCACACTTGGGTGTAATCTATGAACCCTAACGTTCGCTCTCCTTTCCCTCTTTCTTGAAGCGTATACGTACATTGGTAGCTTCCGGTTCTCCAGGCGTTGCGGAAGAGTTCACCCGGCCGTTGGCGTCTTCGCTTCATTTTTCATCGCATTTCGCCTTCATTCCGAAATGTTTCATTCCAAGACTTCCCGAGCACTCCGACAATCGAGGAGACTTTCTACGCGGGAAAGTGACACCGTTCAGAACCTCTAGCAACGGTCCCGAGTAATTCCTTAGATATTTTTTAAATGCCAATTCTCACGATCCGGTGTCGTCGTTTTCAGATGCAACTGCAGCCGTGGAGACGCGAGGTCGTCACTTTTCCTGGGTGCATCTCCGCCATGAAAAGTGGTCTGCGGCGGGTCTTGTGGTTCCTCACCCAAACCATCAACTTGCTTCCGTGAGAAAATTCTTGGCCACCAATGTAAAAATAAATTGAAACGATCCTTCTTATCATTTATCGCCATATTACTGTGTCGCATCTGAGTCTAGACTCCCCACCAGGACTCCAAAGTCATCTCCCAAATCCTGAAGCTTCTGGAATGAAAGGAACCCTGGCGAAGAGGTCCCTTCGTGTCTGGATAGTTTCCATTCTGGAAAAGAAAAAATCAATAAATAAATAAAGGATGAGGAGAGCAACCAAACGGTGGATGGAAAGCCAAGTCGCGGTCGCGTCGGTGTCGCTAAAAGAGCGTCGGTAGTGGGTCCGGTTGGAAGAAGAGGGGAAAAGGAGCGAGAGCTGGCTCTCCGGGTTGGAAGGTGGGACTCGTCGTTCCTCCGTTCCTTAGCCGGTCGGAGGAACGAGGAGGAGGTCCGGGGGCGGAGGAGAGGTCAAGTTTTTCGCCCGTGGCTCGGCTCGGCTCGGCTCGACTCGGCTCGAGCCAAGAACGAGCCAAGGCGGACACCTTCGAGTCAGTCGGTGCTACGTTCTCCTCAGTGCCGCTCCTAAGCCTACCTCTCGTCTCTTCTCGTCGAGAAGAGTTTCCTCCGTACCGAGGAAACGCCCGACCTCGAGGAGCGATACCAAAATGGCGGCGCCGCGCGTCCCCCGCAGACCCTGACGAGGGAACCTCTTCCAAGAGCATCCCCGAAACCTGGGAAGGAAGTTAGAGATTTAGAAAATTAATTTAAGTAGTTAAGAAAGTGATCAAGAGGACCTCTTCAAGGCCAGATAAGAGGAAACGGGGTCGACCGGTAATTCCCGTAGGTCAGGGAACCACTCATAAGCGCGTCCTGGCCCAGGGAACGGCGATTTCATGGGAACGCGCGTTCCCTCTCCGACCTTGAAGAGCACCACGGTTGGATTTTTACAAAGGAGAGTCGAGGGTCGCCGAAGAGCGGACCTCTGCACTTTGCCCTGGACTTCGTACCTGGAACCGGTGGGACGATCCTGCAGGCGATGAGAGATCTCGAAGAGGTGGAGTGACGAACGCGAAACGGCGGTAGACGTGGACCTGGACGACTCGGCGAGGAAGGATTGGACTCGTATAAAAATATTCATACCGTTGGTAAAACATATTGACGGAATACCCGAATCGCAGCTAACCTAAATCAGAGGCCGATCTCTTTAGCCTTGGCGAGAAGAAAGTGAACGCTCGAGATGGGAGTCCCTGGGAGCCGCTGAGCTGAAACTTCCTCGAGAAAACGACTCCGTTCCCACGTCATCGTTTCGACGAGTGTTAGAAGCCGATCCGCAGGAGTGGAATTTCATCCGGGGCCATTTCGGTCAACGTCCCTGTTCCCGTTTGCTCTCTTCGAGTCCTGGTCCCACCTCGAGCTGGTTCCGATCCGCCGATAAAGGGTAACTAGGAGATACTACCGCCAAGATCGCGGCTCCGGAAGTGCCTGCCAGACGTCGAGGAGTGTCCTCGATAATTTCCGGAGAAAGGGGGAAGACTTGATGCGGAAATCGCCAAGAATCGCGATAGTGCCGACCAAGGAGAGGAACTCGAAGTGGCGGCGATCTCGATGAACGGACGGATTAATGGACTCCTGATGAAACGAGGCACGAGTTTACTTTAGAGTACCACTCCTCGTGGGGATATATATAATATAAGTGGGATACAGAGACCGGAAGTCGTGATTCGGTTACCTGGTACCTGAAGAGATGAGGCTCCTCGTGTTCTCCGCGATTCTGGGCGTGGTGGCGTGGAGGGCACCGGAAGTAGCTGGCCACGTGGCTTTGACGTTTCCTCGGGCCCGGAAGTTCGACCTGGACTTCCTCGACAATGCCAGGACGCCTGCGCCCTGCGGGATGCCGAGAGGTCAGTAAAGCTCCATATTTATTAAATGTCACTTCGTATAAATTAATTATCAAACCACCGTCCACCTTCCTAAGCCAACAAATTCTTCATCATAAATTACAAATTCATTCAACGTCGCTGGGAATATTTATATAAATAATTTCATAAATAAATATGGCTTTTGAAATTCTTGCACCCTCCCAGGTGGATTTTTCAACTTCCCAGAGCTTCCGTTATCCGTGCCATATCACCTGTCGTGTGATGCGTCATTCAAGATGGCGTCGCATTCCTCTCCGTCTGAAATTACACCCGGGTCGGCGCTTTTTTCTTTTCTTTTTTTCTTTTTTCAACGGTGACTACTCCGAAACGCATCGGCGGTTCGGATAACGGCTGAGGCGCAATTTAGATCCCGCAATCATTCTCAGGATTCCCATTTAGAAGTTATATAATGGAACGTCGGGAGTAAATACCCTACTCGTGATTATAATCGTTAATCGCAGATGTAATGCCTCGGGTAATCGTTCCGCACCGCGCGTGCAGGGATGCGTCATTTAGGGATGTTAAAAACAATTACGCGCGTCCCAGTCATGCTTTCTAACAACGAGCAATCGCGATTAATTAACCATTCCGAAATTCTAATTTTTCCTATACATAAGAAACGAATTAAATTACTTCGCTGTTTAAAAGAGAACATCAAGCGGTCACGTAACGCAGTTATGTAAAATATTTAGAGACATTACGAACGATTATATATTTATTATCAGGATTTCTCGCAGTCAAGGACAGTCCGACCAGTTCACCGCCATTTGCCTAGTTTCTCTCGCCATGCCTTAACTGAACCTGAATTAAATATTCAAGAGGCGTTTGTTTACAATAACTGCAAGCCTTCACGCCAGGAGAACCTTAATTTTTACCTTAAATATCCCGCTGTCCCATTTACTCGCCTATTTATTATATTTTCACGAAACGTCGCCAACAATCTGCGATGTATAAGACCCTCTTAGAGCAGAAACGCCCGCGAATAGTGTTCGTGGAAAAGCGAATACCATTGTCCCGGCGAGAAAACCACTCTTGCAACAATGCGCCGTCGCTAATTTAAGAAAGGCAGCCGATGAATAGTCACCGCGCTCCGGATGCATCCTTTAAATGGGACTTGCAAAATCCCGCGTCGTCCTGCGAACGTGGAAATAAATTAAGGCATTATATCATCCCCAGGTCGCTAAAAAGAAAAAAAAGAGGTAAAGAAATAAGGGAAATTCACAACGCCGAAGGACCAGAGTTTCACGATGTCTCGCCGAATAATTTATACGTGTACACGTGAAAATGAATTTGGAAATTCCCGTGGGAAGAAAAAAGAAAAGTGACGAGGAAGAGCTAACGGGTGCAATCGGTCGTGTTATCGCGCGTCATCTCCAGGACGTCTTGCCGACACCACGCGCCCCGGTTCCTGAGGTTCTCTCGCCTACTATGAGAAACCGGCATTAAAGTCTCCTCCAGAGAGCGGGAGAATTCCGTTTCGAAGAGAAGCAACTTTCACTGTTGGGAGCGGGAGCTCTCGAGATATAGTCGGCTTGTGTACCTTAGGACTTACGTGGGCCTCCCCAGGACGTGTACGTCCAACTTCGACGTACCTCCCGGGTACCACGATCGTCAGGTCGGGCCATTTAACCGGGGAGCGTCAGAAAGGTTCTCCGCATGCTCCCATAATTAGCGGCCGCGGTTCCCCCTTTTTCTGTCTCCGTTTCTTCGAGATGCTTTACATAAATCTGCTCCACGTTTCATGCGGCGGGCTGAAATGCCACACTTTCTAATAATAAGACCCGGGCACGTGTTTCTTCCCGTAGCGTGCATTAAACGATGTGCCATTTTTCTTTTCTTATTTTTAAACCGACGCGCAAAGTGGCCATTACCTCGTTTTTTGACGCGCTAACACGGCAGGATTATGTCATGCGCATTGAATGGACGGGGGGACTATTTACCATGGTTTAGCGAAGGGATTAATAGGATGAGTTCCGTTTCATAATGGTCTGGAAAGGCCATTCGTTCAGGGTCTCTTCGAGGCCGCTTCTGGAGGTCTCTTCGGTACGTCATCGACATCTCTTCGACACCTCGGAATCAACGTCCGACCCTGTAAAAAAGGAATACGCGACAATGTCATCCCGTTATGCGTTTATACTGCACCCAGCTAATGTCACGCCGCGTCTTAAAAATGGCCGAACGGTATCCGCGAAAAGTCCCCTTGTCAAGCCTTCTAATAAGCGTTGAAAATTCCCCCGCTCCGGCATTACACGTCGGATAATAATTCACCGGGCCGTGGAAACCGTCCCATTTTTCTTTCGCCTCTTTTTAACGGGTTAAGCAAAGCTTCGGTGCTTTCTTCTCCCCTTTCCTCGAGAGAGAGAGCCTCCGCGATCTCTTCGGGACCTCCTCGGGATCAACGGCCGGGCCCGTAAAGATGGAAACAACGGCAAAGTTATCCCGTTATACATCCATGATTTACCTAGCAGATTCTCCGAACCGTGCAGAAGACATGTACGCAAGTAAATCGATTGCCCGGCGAGGAATGCAGTTTCGACATTTTACCCCATTTCCTTCGGAAGAGGACGCCTTGAATTACGCTTCGCGCGCTCTCGGGCGTTGAACTCTCCACGGAGACCGGGGATAGAAAAAAGAGGAAATCCACGGAAGGCGTTTTTCATCAATATTCTAGGTTCTCTCGGAACTCGCGCGATGACGCGAGACGGGCCACGAATTATTCTAGCTGTTCTCCGCATCGCGCATCGATTATCCATCGTGAACGCGGGAAGAAAGTGTGAACTTTCGGGGAAAGTAAAGCGAGGAGTGCGGAAAAAGTTACGTCGACTCCTAGTCCTTCCGACTTCCGGAACTTCTCTCGGCCCCGTCACGCTCGCCTCGCGATTAATCGCGACTCGTTCTTAAGGAATTGGCTTCCTCGGGGACGAGATAAAAAAAAGAACGATAATGCACCTGCAGGTGCAATGATTTTAGCGCTCCCAATTTTCCCCGGGGAGGCCATTATGCCCTTAACATGAACGGTGGAAAATATTAGCGGTAATCGTATTAAAAAAATCCCCTGGCTTAGTAATTATGTTCTCGACCACGCGTGTATGACGAGGCCGAAGAAAGACCGTTAAAAGCTATACCACTTGATTAACTAATAAACGTCGAAGCACTCGTTGCTGCAAACTTCGGAGAGGTCTGGAAGGGTTGGCAAAATCCTCCAGATGGACGTGGCGAAACAAAGATTCGCTCCGATTACCATTCCATCATGCGCGTGCACCTGAAAGGGTAAATAATTGTCAGTCGAGAGAGTAATCCCTCTCATTTCCTCCGACCGATGTAATTATTCCTCCCCGGCGGTGTTATTACGTCCCGCGGATGTAATGCCGCAAAATGCCCGGTCGTTCGAAAATGCCGGGGAATGATGCAGGGATAAAAAACTGCCAGCCTCTAAAGGGTTACTTCGGATAATTCAATTAACTTGCAGTTACCAGGAGAAAAGTAAAAAGGAAAGGGAGAAGAAGTCCGGTGCACTCGCGAGGGAGGATACCGCGAAGAGCAAGAAGCATAAAAATGGCCGCCGTGATTTTCAGCATCCGGGGATACATGGAAGGAAAGTACGATTTCGCCGTGAAAGTGGCAAAATCTGTGAAGGGAACTGCCGGCTTTTTCAGGCCCGTCGTGAATCCCCTAAGCGTTAATTACCGTGGTCATTTTTATGATCCTCTTTCTACCCGGTAGACATCACGGCGCACTGCAAGGTAACAATGGCGGCCAGGGTCCGGCAACTCGTCTGGGTATTCTTAAAAATTAGTACTTACTCGGCACACCCAATATGGTGTTCATTTTCATGGACGAAAGTGTGCTCCTCAAGGTAAACTCGGAACAAGGCCAAGAGGTACCGAGGAGAATTTCGGTGGCAACGTTTTACACGGCGAACCGACGTTCTTCTAGACGGAGAGAGAAATGAATATTTTCTCTCCTAGCTTTGATCATTTCTTTTACCCTACATTTTTTCTCACGCATCTCCTCTCGTTTGTTTCCAGGGGACGTCAAAACCTCCCTGCTTTCCGGCAGCAGCTTCAACGTCACTTGGCACCTCGCGTATCCGCATAAAGTAAGTGCTGAATATTTCTGTAATTACTCCTCGACCTGATCTCCACGTTAACGATCTCCCTCCTGTAAAAATAAAAAACGTGTAAAAGTCGGATCGACGCGTAAGGAGCTAATCACCTAATTCCAGTTCTCGCTCCCCTTCCCGTAGCTTTGATCCTTCGATCAAGAGCACTCTTCTCTGCTCTCCTCTCACCTGTAATTAGAGGAGCATGTAACGTAATCCGGACCCACCCACAGCCACCGGTGTTACCGGTGCATTTCCTCCGATGGCCACTTATCTCACCCTTACCCCTTTTCCCGACACCTTCACTCGCGTTATAATAAACCTTTACGATCCTTCGTCGAAGCCGCCTATGGCAGATTTTCCGAGAAAATGCGTGAAAATCGCGGTCTTTACCCGGCTAGAGCGCAAATTACGAAAAGTCCCACATCAGAGGGCGGACGCAGATATTCTCCATCATAAATTGCAAAACCTGACAATCCGCAAGGAAAGCAACGATAACGCCGACACCTCCCATTAACTTTTATAATTACATAATTAAGTAATTGCAAATCGTTTAAATGTCCCGCCGTTCGAGGGACGCGCGGCGCGGGCGATTTAAACGGACTCAAGCGCCTCCCCCGCGGCGTCCTTTGATAAAGATTAACTCGATAGCTAATCGGTGGATAAAAATTGTCTAATCTACCGTAGGTGGGTGATAGACCCAAGGTTTAAGTGGGCCCGCTACCGAGAACAATCGTCGGGTATGTAGGTAATACCGGCGACTAGGTGGGCAGTCGTAGGGTCGGGTTACGTACTCCCGTATGTACGTACATACGGGCACATAGGCGTGCTCGGTACATGGGCAGATGAGTGTATACCGTATCCTCGACTCTGTACCTCGGTGCATAGGCAAATAAGTGTGTGCCCGGTCTGCAGCGTACCGAGGTAAGGACGTAGGTACGCGGCAGAACCGGATGGCCTACGCGCGTACCGTTCAAGGCATGCGGCCCCTTGAATTATTCAGGAAAGAAGCCTTCGGCTCTTTAGCAACCCACTAGGTATGCCAGATACCGTACGCCGCGTCGGCCGCCAGAAAAATGCCGATGGCTTTCGAAATCGCGAGCTCGAGCCAAGGTCTCTCTCCTCGCCACGCTTCTTCGCCTGGAGAACATGGAGAACATGGAGAACGCTTCGGGCCCGCCGACCTTATTTCGCCCTCCTTTTATTTGTCACCGCTCTCCATGGCTATCTGAAATTAAAAAGAAAACCCATTCCATAACTCCGCGGTACTCCAAAAAATATACCATACATTGTTACGGTATGACTCGAGAAGTATAATTATTTAGGAACGAACGTCGAAGGTTTCCGCGGTGGAAATCCCGGACGTGCCTCGGAGTAGGAAAAAGAGGAGGCAAAAATCCGAAGGAAGATAAAACGACGACCGGATGATTCGGCGATGACGGCACCGTCGTTCGCATCCCCTTCCTTCCTCTATCGAATCCCCTCGACCTCCTCTTCCTCCTTTGACCGAACCGAGTCTCTGAATATTAATTGCGCGCTAGATATGAATGCCAATGAAGCGGAATAAACTGAAGTTATTACTTCCTACTCGCGTCCCGGCGACTAAAGCTTAACTTAATCTACGATTCCGTGACATCGATGGTAGCCGGTATAAAGGTTCCAGAACCGAAGATTTATAATCCAGGGAAATAAAATGGCCGAGCCAATCGTGGACGTCCGGGATTAATGGATTCTAGAGATTTCGTTACTTATTATTGGTAATATTTATCGACCTATTTGCATCTTTACGTTCTCAGGGAGGATTCAGGCTCCAAATCCTGGACTCCTTGGACCGGCCTCTGATCGACCTCACCCCGGTGACCCGGCAGAGCGAGTTCGTCGAAGAAGACGCAACGTGAGTCGTCGACCACTCCTTAAAAAAAGGACATTTCAGAGTCCTGCTCGCGGTACTGGGAAATATAATTACCCGCGAGCACTCTACCCCGCAATTACCCGGGTACCTGGGTACCTGGCGATTACCCTCGCCTGCCTGGCAATTACGCCGATAGAGTAACTTCTTGCCGAAAGAATTTCCTCGGACCCTGTCAAACGAGCGTCTGAATTTCAGGGCGCAGTGGTACCCGGTCGAGTTACCGCAGAACTTCACATGCACCGACTGCACTATCAGGCTTCTAAGGGAAGCCGAAGAGTGGGGCTCGAGTTACAGGTTCTGGTCCTGCGCCGACGTCGACGTAAGGGGATGGCCTCTCGACGATGCCTTAAAAATATTTCAGGAATTAAATCCATCCCTCCATTTTCTCCAATTTTCATTCATTATGCGTGCAGATTGTAGACAGGAAGGCGTACCGGGAGGCTTGCAACGGACATGGCAGATATCTCCTGGGGAGATGTAGATGCGACAGGTTCTACCATGGCTCGAAATGCGAGTTCAAGGAGGATTGCCTGGACGATTCGGACTGCGGTACCCAGGGAGTCTGCCAGGACAACGGAGGAACGACTTCTCCAACTAGGCAGTGTTACTGCAACATGGGCTGGTTCGGTCCTGGCTGCAACAAGAGTGAGTGTTTTAAAAAGTGACCTCACCCAAGGTAGAAGGAGAAATCGAGAAATCGAGCGTTTCGGTACTTCCCTCCAGAGTCCGTCATCAAGACCGCAGACATAGACTTCGATGCCTACACGATGAAGCGATTTTCGGACGACTTCGTCCTTTATTGGAGGATCCTGAGGGAGAGCAAAGAGCTGGAGGCCATCGCCGTGGCGAACGGAACTTCCTGGCTGGGCGTGGGGTGGAGGCCGAGCAGCTTGACTCCCTCTTGTAAGGCCTTCCCGGAGATCCGAGATCCCCCGGGAGAGCCTTTGCCAAGGCCGGAGCCAAAAGCGGAACCGGAGCCAGAATCGAAGCCTGAACCGGAACCGGAACCATCCGCGGAGCCGGAACCGAAATCGACTCCGAAGTCCGAGCCTGAATCCGAAAGAGAACCGAAATTCCGCACGAAGGTCTCTTCCTCGTCTGCCGTGGGGACGCCGGAACCGGAACCCGAGCCGACCGCGGAACCGGAACCGGAACCGGAGCCCGAGCCGGGACCCTCGAACTTCAAATCCACTGCCAAGAGGAGGTCGCCGAAGGCGGAAGTCTTCGTCCCCGTCACTCCTGCCAACACGGATGTCACCGTGCAGACCAGCGTCACCTACAGAGTCAGCACAAAACAAGGTGAGATTATTCTTTCATTTGACAAATACGAAGGATAAACCGGAAAGATTACGCCACGGCCCGCGAGATATAAATGTTTCTCCGGTAATAAAAAATGGTACGTCAAGCGACTCAATTTAAATGCAGCATAATACAGAGAAATTGTTGTGGAAATAACATATACCCGATACACAAAGCAAGTAGAATTAATTTTAGTGTCAAGGAAATGGGGTCGAAAGTGTCCTTCAATGTAAATCGAATAATTCGATATATTCTAAATAATTAATTTAACCACTTGTCGATTCCTGTAGTCATCTTGTATATATACATTTAACGTTAATTGACGTATCGTCTCTTCAGGTCGCAAGAGAAGGTCTCCGGAAGCTGCAACTCCAGAACCGACAGGTATGAGAACGAGGAGGCGAACCGAGCTCCATTCCTCGACATTCGTCCCGTAGATGTAAGGAGTACATCCCGAGGTCTTTGCACATGTACATACCAGTAGATAGATTCGCTTATTCACTCGCTGGCCGTAAATAATTCTCCAAGAACGGTAGTTGGTCTCGGTAGGGTAGTGCAACGGTTTCGAGAGCGGACTACTTGTACATGTACGATATTCCAGTATTATACAGGGTATACGTGCAAAGGTGTACGTGCATATATACGCGGACGTATATGCACGTATACCTATGTAAACCTGTCCCCGTTAAGTCCCTGGTACCTTGATCGGAGTAGCACGAGGTGACGGTAAAATGGTTGCACGCAATGGAGTCGTTGCTTTCTTGCACAGGGACACCAATCGACGACACTTTAGGAAGGCATGTTACGGCAGAACCGGAGCCCAAATCCGAGCCTGAACCCGTTTCCGAACCTGAGCCTGTTTCCGAACCTGAACCTATTTCTGAGCCTGAGCCTAAATCAGAGCCTGAGCCAATTTCTGAGCCTGAACCTAAATCAGAACCAGAACCTAAATCAGAGCCTGAACCTAAATCAGAACCAGAACCTAAGTCCGAGCCTGAGCCTATTTCTGAGCCTGAGCTTAAATCAGAGCCTGAACCTAAATCAGAGCCTGAACCTAAATCAGAACCAGAACCTAAATCAGAGCCTGAACCTAAATCAGAACCAGAACCAAGATCAGAGCCTGAACCTACATCCGAACCTGAACCTACATCCGAACCTGAACCTACATCCGAGCCAGAACCAAAATCCGAACCCGAACCGAAATCAGAACCGGAGCCAGAGCCTAGTTCCGAGCCGGTACCAAAACCCGAACCAGAACCTGAACCGGAACCAACTAGTACGAAGACGGGAGCCACCAAAGGTAATACTTAATACTCCAAAATGTACATAGTCGAGTGATCCACAACGAGCGATCACTGCCCGTAGAAACGTAAGAATCGTAAACCGTAGAGACCATACAGACATTAATCTGACGACCTGCGCGAAGCCGCAGGTCTCGCTTGCATGTACATAATTCCGGATTAATTACACATCGAGCTTCGACTGGGAGTAATTTCGCAATCGCGAGTAAGCAGCGACCGCAAAAGGTCAGCCTCGGCAATTATTTGGCGACTAGAAATTGATGCCCGTGTTAATAGCGATTCCCCGTAATCCTCGTAACGTAGCGATTAACAAGGTAACGAGTCCCCGGGATTGATAATATCGTTACAGCGAGGGAGTAGAAGTCGGCAAAAATCTTAGCGATTATCGCTTGATATCTTATCCCCCAGAAATTTGATTAACAACCCCTGATACCATTAGACCTAAGTACTAATAAAAATTCAGACACTATCGGTCGGCTGACGAAGGTGAACACCAGAGGATCCGCCGCGGTGGAGTTTCCCACATTTTCCTGGACCCTGGGGACCCGCCATCGCGGCGGATAATTTTTATTCCATTGACCGAGTACTTTAACTATCAGCTCCCGCCCCGCCAGCGGTGCACAAGTACACCCCGAAGCATGACTTCGTCGCCATGGACTGCACCGACATGGTGATCGGCAGTGCCAAAGGCAACAGCCACAAGATCGGAGACTACTACAGCCGAGACAGGTCGACTCCCAGGATAGACAGCTTCTGGGGGGGAAAGGACAGCTTGACAGCTGCCACGGGCTTCGAGAGGGACGGCGTGACGACGATAGCCTTCCGCAAAAAGCTGACCAGCGACGAGCTGACGGATCACGAGATCCTGGACGGAGACATGCTGGTCATCTGGGCCAAGGGTCAGGAGCCAGGAAAGTACGTCCACGTGCCTCCCAGTGGGGTCGACGAGGTTGGCAAGGCCTCCGTCAAGGACTTCTACAAGGCCGACGAGCTCAAGTACCACGGACATCGGTCTCAAAGAGGCTCCGTCACCTTCAACTTCTTCGGTGAGTATTCCTACGAGTCGTCGCAACGTTAAAATAAATATTATTAAATTATTTAAAAGAGTGCGCTCCTACTATTGATCATTGTACAAGCTGCAGGTGGGGTTGTAATTCTTCTTTCACGGTTCCAGAGGAGAAGAAGTCCGAACTCTTCGCCGGCGACCCCACTCTTCGCACCGGAGGCTGCGGAGGCGAATGGAAATATCCCAGACAGTGTTCTCCGGATGCTGGAAACTGCGAATATTCGATTAAGTGGACGTACAGGGCTAAGACGGTAATGCTCCACTGCCGGTTTCGTTAATTTCATTTGGCAACCTTTTTCAACGCACCTTCCTCTTCCAGGATCAGCTGACGTTCACTATAGTCACGACGAACACGGACACCTGGACAGGCGTAGGGTTCTCCAACGACGAGAAGATGGTGAGAACGGATCGCCGATTTTACAGGCTCCCTCTAAGAAACAAAGAAAAAAATAAATATAGATTGTTAATCATTCCTTTCGCATGTCCAGACCCAAACGGACGCGGTTTTGGGCTGGGTGGACCAGGGCACGGGTCGAGCCTTCGTGATGGATACCTGGATAAGCGGCTACAACGCTCCGCTTCTGGATCCTTCCCAGGACATCTTCAGCTACAGCGGTAGCATAAAGGACGGAGCAACCACGTTGAAGTTCTCCAGGAAACGCGCCACCAAGGACAACAGGGACCTGTCCTTCACGGATGATCAGTGCCTCTACATGATGTTCGCCGTCAAAGGAGGAGCCTTCAACCCCGTGAACAAAAAAATTCGGAAGCACGAGAGCGTGCCGATTGTCTCCTCCGAAAGGATCTGCATCAGATCCTGCGGAATCGACGGTTAGTCGGTGCCCTAAATTTAGTCATTTTCATTAATTCGCTATATTAACGCGAGGCTTCTTTTGCAGAAGATGTTGCAGACTCTACCCCAGCTCCCCCAAGACTGTACTACGACGTGGAAGTGAAGCTGGTGAACCTCGGCGATGGCTTCGTAGCTCCAGAGCCCTCCACTCCGGACTTCGAGATCATCTCCAACACGATATCCGATAGTTTCGGGCCCGTTCTTAACAAGGTCCCAGGTTACTACCAAATCCAGCTGAACGAGCTGCAAAGGTACCCTTGGCCACTTAAAAGACCCTGAAAAAAAATTCATCCCGGTGAATTAAGTCATCGTCGATTCCCTTCCAGCACGAACGAGGATGGAGTGATAGCGAAAATGAACCTCATCCTGGACAAAAACGAGGCCAAGGGCAGAGCTCTGCGACCTGGAGACACGGAGGCTCTTGCCGAAGTTGCGCTGAGAGAAGCTCTTGGGACTGGAAAGGTTGGATCTCTGACGGTGGATCCTCAGTATCTCGTCCTGCGAGCTCCTCAAGGTAGACGTCTTCTCGAGCCTGAAGAATTGTCCAATTTCCTGGATTTCCTTTGAACACCCTTTATCAAGGGAATTTATCCGAGCCGTACCTGATATCTATGTAATAATTATAATTTTTATACGCATCAGTGAACGACGTGGTGACCGAAGATGAGGAAAACGACAATTCCCTGGGTGGGTCCGGATTGCTCCTGGAAGCGACGAAGCTGTACATTGTTGCAGGGTGCGTAGCAGCCCTAGTCGCCCTGGCCTTGCTGCAAGCAACTTGCACTATTTACAGGGCATCCAGGAAGAGGACCACAAAGGTAAAAAAGTATTTCTTACCGCGTCCTCGTATACAGTAGTGTTGCATAAATAGATCGCGTGGGCGCCGCCATCTTGTTCTTGCACGCGCGGCGTCCCAGGATAATTTACAAATTAATTTCCATCTCGCCTCCCAGATTGTTCCCTACAAAACATCGCATGATGTAGCTAACAAACAAATTATCGAGGTATACCAAGTAAAGTAAATTTGTTAATTTCACCTCGCAAGGTGAACCGCCAAAAAAAAAAGAAAAGAAAGATCGATCGCGGCGAATCCTCGTAGTGTCCATCTTCCTCCTCCAAATGGTACTTCTCCGAGCATGTCTGGAATAAAAAATCAGCGAGTTAAAAACGTGCCTGTGTCTAATAAATAATAATTAACCGTACATCTACATCTCTAAAGCCTAATTCTACTTATTTTCTAATAAACTCTCAGCACCCTTTGACTGTCTACATTCCTGCGCGTTGCATCGCCAATGTTAACGATCTTCGCGTACGCTAATTTCGCAGTAAATCTCCGACTGCGGTTCTCTCGCGAGTTTTAATTCCAATGATCAAACGCAAGTAAGGATCAGCAATTAATATATTTCTTGGGAGGTCGTTCTTCCCGGACCTCTCCAACAGGGTTCTCGACTTAGACAATTAACTAAACCCTTGGCCTTTGCTTGTGTTGCATGACATCGCGCTCTATCCGACTGCCGTGGGCTTGTAGAGGGTGTACTCGCTGCCTTTGGTCTCTTCTCCTGCCTCAGCCAACCCGATTCATCACTCAAACGCGACCCGGTACCATCAACAACATCATCTACACCACCATCAACATCACATTCCACCCAACATGCATCGGCCCTCTTCGAACTGGTAGACCCCCGAATCGCCGGCTCCGACGATGGAAGGTATCCCGGAAATCGGCGCATGAATATCCGCACGAGTCATAAAAATCTATGCTTCTCGCCTCTACATTTCCACAAGGCTCGCTCGCATTTTACAAAATCCCATATTCCTAGCCGCAATACAGTGTTCACCCAGACATGGGAGGAGAATGTCCCTTTGCCCCAGAATAGGTATACCCTGATTAGCAGGTATCTCGCATTGCCCTGAAGGACCCTTTAAAAAGGATTCCAATAAAAATGTCTTCGGGGTCTCTCAAATTTAAGAGCATTAATAAAGACACCGTCCTTTTTTTATTTCCCCAGGAACGCCTGATAGCGAGTAACGCCTGGAAGGACTACTCGTCCGGGGCGAACACGAACTTCGCATTCGAGGGTTTCGAGACCGAGGAGAAGTCCCCTCCACCGGTGTCGAGTCTGCCGAGGCCTAGGGAAGTGGGGCCCACCGTGGAGCACCGTTCCCCAGGGCAAAGGGAGGTCCTGGGAGGTCCCAGGGCGACGTACAGCCTCCCTCGAGCCCCGGGTCCAAGGCAAGCTCCACCACCTCAGCAACTTGGTTACTTCACCCAGGATCGTAGGAACCAGCGGTTCAAGGGCTCCGGCACCCTGGGCAACAATCAGACTCAACCTGACTTCTATTTCATGCCCAGCCAAAGGAAGTACAGCGGGGAGGTGGTGCGCGTCTACGTGGACTATGGGAACCAGCCGAAGTAAATGTTCTTGGACAGCCTGGGAGGGACCTGGAAGCACCAGGAGTCAGGAGAAACCGGGAAATCCAGGGCGGACGAAGACCTCTTACCTACGAAGACAGAACCTTGTCAAATCTCTCGACGGCACCGACATGGGAATCCTAGGAAACATAGTCTGTCCTGGGCCTTCCTCGAGGAGGACATGAAATTCCGCCTGTCCGCCCGTGGTGAATTCGACGAATCAACGTCCCGCGTCTAGTGGGACCTGTAAATAGACATTACCGATTACAGCGGGCCCGAGAGCATTTACTTGGTGCTCCTCGCGATTTTGCCTTGGTACCGCATTCCAGCGAGCATTCCTCGCCACCAAAGAGCTATAGCACGTGTACCGCAGGGCGCAGCCGAAAACTGGGAACTGCGGGTCTAAAAAGGACAAGCGGTTAAAATTGAACTTTACAGAGATAATTACCAGTTAAACGGTCGAGAGTGGTCGCCTCTTTTACCAGAAAGCCGTTCGTTCGCCGGCGTCGCTCGGTAGAGTTAAGCGCCAAGTACACATCACGGCGCGACAGTCTCCGGGAAACGTCCCGGAGCGTGCTATCTATACGTCACTCATGCGTTAACGTACAATGTAGATATATCGCAGGCCCTAGGAGAGCCCTTTGCAAGATAGGCGCACAACCGCACGTGTATATATTAAAATCTGTACATAGTAACGCCTCGAGGAGTCCGCCGAACGTCGCGGAATACTCTGCGAAGGCAAAAGGCGCACCCTCGTGTGTATTTCCATTAGTGGTTAGCACCCTCTTCCACTTCGCCCTATTCCGCGTAGAGGTGGACAGAATAATCGACCAGATGGAAACCAAGTGTCGACAAGTTAACGGAGACGTGTAATAAAGTGTTTGTATATTTTTTAAAAGCTACCTCCTCACCTCAGAAATAACGGAGCCCCATTTCCTCCCTTCCCTAAGGTAGCCATAGGGCCCTGAAATAATTTTTAACCAACCAGTAAGTCGAAAGAAAATCCAGTAGAACGCTCTCGCTAACGTGTCAATAGATCTGGTCAATATAGTTTATTTCGAAAAAACCGCTTTTAAAGGCATAAAGTGCTCGCACCTCGCGATATTTCTTTCCTCGATTCGGCGCAACGGGCACGTTGCTTAAAGTGTAAGAAGGCTCACACGGTCACTCGCGTGACGCGGGGCTTTTAAATTCTCCATTAATATGCGTGTATATATATATATTAATTAATCATAATTCATCGGTAAGTCGCCTCGTAGCAGCCGGGTGCTCCTTATCCTATTACGTGGAGTGACGACTCGTACACGCGATCACGCAAAAGTCGTACGTCTCGGCCATTTTCGCCGATGTCGTGCTAACAATTCCCGACAAGGTCTCACTTTGCGCCTCGTAGATCCGAGTTACCTTCTACGTCCTAAGGATTAAATCACGATAAATGGCCGACTCAAGTAGACACGCAGGCTTCCTCAGAAAATCCGCCTCTCGAAACGGACAAGGAGAAAAAAAAAAATAATGACGCCGATAATCGAGCGAGGGCGACCTTACTGCTCTCGGAACAGATTCGTTGGCGTGGTGCTCTACATATCGAAGTTCTGGTCATTTCAAGGTATAGAGGTTCTCACGGCCGTCCTTCAGGTCGAGCATGATTCCCGGAGACCTGGGACAAGAGGAAGAGAATCGATGGGAAGGACCGTATCGAGCGTACAAATCGTTCCTTATAGGCGCGTCGCAATGGCGGAGGGGACGAAATTAAAAGGCGAGAAACGAAATGAAGGACGCGCAACTTGGCCCACGACACGGGGCGAGCAAACGATCGCTCGCAAGGATTTATTCGTTCTTCGGCGACTTCGTCGTCGGGTTCGATAACGCTCGTGAGATCGATTGGACCTAACGGACTACGCCGATAACGGGCAGCGATCTTTCCGAAATCAGCCCTCGAGGGGTCCGCGTGTCGCCGGTCGTCGCAACGGCAATATAACAACGATAACAACGTGATAAATCGCAGCTACGATAATGATAAACGCGGTAATAGTAGAATAATATTATTAATAATATATAGTCACATTTCAGCGATAATAATTAATTAATCCTCTCGAGAGCTCACTCGTTCTCGTTCCCTCCTCTGCCGCTGGCGCGCTCATTACACATCGCCGTCGCGACGCGTTAACGTTACGTTATAATAATAATAAAAATACTAATGGTAGTAGCTGTAGTAATAGTAATAGTAATATTATTAATGGTAATAGTAATGTCAAGGTAGTACCAATTGTTAACGGTAGTGGCGCTAATTACGATAACGATAGCAACGTCTCAATGTGATGTAACGACGAAACGTGTACGGTAAGGTACTCGCAAGGTGTCGAGTGGCTCTTCCTTCAACACTGAGAGACGGATAAAGGGGCTACAAGCATCAATGTGTGAACCATCATTACAGTGTCTTTTTGTCGCCGAGCCGAAGACCGGCCAGCAATGATCGGTTACGCCTTCGCGAGTGACTTCCTCTCCTCGCGGTCGACTTCCGGGACAAGGATAACCCAACATGGACGTTCTTCCTAATCCGGTCTCTTTCCGATCCAGCAAATGACTCGATGGCCGTGCGGCTGCTTTCTTTGGACTAGATGGTTGGCACGAAGACGATCTGCCACGGCGGTGAAGATTCGGCTTCGTTAAGGGCACTGTCCGACGCTGTTCTTCTGGTCCTTCTGGTTCTTCGTTGACTCCTTCAATACCTTCTTCTCTTACCGTGACCCTTATCTCCGTCTTCCGTCTCTTCGTCTCACTTTCTCTGCCTGACATCGGAGTCCTTGTTGGGCGTTGGCTTCCTGCAAACAGCGCGTTAAAAAATGAATCATCGGGTCCTCTTAATTTTAATTCCTCCCCACATCCCGATTTTTTTACTCAAAGGGGTATGCCTTCGCGATAAAGACCATATTCCCACGACCGCTCCCGCGAATACAGCCCTTACCGCCCAGGTGCCTCATGCAGTTTCCCCTTATTCTAGAAATCCGTCGTTCGCGGTACGTTCGGTCCAGGGGAGATTTCTTGAGAAGGGAGGTCTCGGTCCTCGATTCAGCCGAGTGGGTTCCTGGGAAAGGCAGAAGACGTGGGTGCCGATCGAAGGGGGCTCTTTCCACGAGGCTCTCTGGAAGAGAACTCGACGGCCCTGGAGGCGAGGCTTGGACTGGTCGGAGGGGTCACCGGAGGGTCGACGGGAAGTTTCGAAGGCGGAAGAGGACCTCGAAGAGGCACGAAGTATTCCGATTCTCCCTCCGGCGCGAGCGCACGGGAGGTTTCCCTGGAAGGAGGAGGGAAGAGGGTCCAGGAGTTACAGGAATCCCTCTTGATAAATCCTACGAGGTGATTCGGGGTGATTCCCTCCGCGACGATGAACCCAAGCTTACGTGTCGGGGCTCTGGTCGGTGTCGGACTCCTCGAGCTCGGCCTTGTTGCGTTTCTTCTCGTAGATCAGAATAATGGCGCAGAGCACGACGACCTCCGCACAGATGCCGAGGAAGGGCCAGAGGGCGGCGAGCTTGTCCTTCACCCGGAGGAGCGTCTGGGCTTCGGCGTAGTGGTCTTCGGTAGTGTCCGACCAGTTATACGAGACTCTGCAATAGATCTCTCCGCGATCGGCCATCCCGATGTTCTCCACGTTAAGAACGGCTCCATAGATCCCGCGGTCTTCATCCCTGGCCAACTTGACGCGACCCTCGCTCTGGGTGTAGTTCCTACCGCCGAAGCTCCAGGAGACCTTGATACCGGGACTCTGTTTTCCAAGACACACCAGGTGAAGCTTCTCGCCCTCGACGACGCTCAACGACTGGGGCATTATCGCAGTTGGCTTGGCTGCAACCATACATTCCAGATATGATTGTTCCTTTTTTTTCTCTCTCTCTCCACAAAATGAAGAAACTTGTCGAAATTAAATCCGTTCATAAGCAGAGGCATCCCTCCGTACTTACCGACGATCCTGTAATCGGTCGACGAGTTGCCCACCTTGCAGGAATAATTCCCGTATGCCTCCTCCTCCTCCTTCAGAATCTCCAGGTTACCGGTCTCGTTGTTGATCCTGAACACGCCCTCGGAGTCGGCCATGGCGACGGCGATCGGTTTCGAGTCCTTGATCCACTGGACCTTGTCGTTTGCGGTCCTGTTCGCGCATTCCATCACCATCGGCGTGTCGACTTGCGAGAGCACCCGGATGATGGTATCTGAAGAGAGGCAACATTCCGTCGTCAGTTTACGAGTAGATCCCTAAGTACCGGCTGCGAGTCTCGCCGATGGAAGTTAGAGCTAGACGAAGACCAACAGGGCTGGGAGCCAACGGGACGTCAAGAAGACCTTAGCAAAGTGGCATTGTAATAGAAAGTAGGTAGAGATGCATAAAAAGAGAATTACGATACGACCAGAAGCGTTAGACTACCCGAAGAGACCACGTTCCAGGAGAGGAGGAAGTTCGCCGACCCTATTGTTAAACGAGACCCGCTTCCAGCCCTGAAGAACGTTCAGCGTGTTAGGCAACAATGGCAGAAAACGCGAGCTCGAAAGAGCATCTATCGCGGGACGGTAAAATCACGCAGCTGTTTAGTATTAATAAACTAACTGATTCCTCTATTAATAACGCCTTACTATAAATAATCGCGGTAGTTTATATTCGGAGTGATTTTTTAAGAACGCCGGCCTATTATAGTTCTCTGCCGAGGAACTCTGCTTAACTACAATTGGAGCACGCCACCCCGACCGAGAATCGATCCGCCATTTCGAGGAGACATTCCTAATTTCAGGGGAAAAAAAAAAATATATATATATATACACAGATAACTAAGTACCATCGGCGAGCCTGGAAGAAAGCTCTTCGAGGTGTCTACTCCACCGGAAGTCTGAAAATCGAGGCAGCCATTTCCCAGGATTATCCTAGACGGAGCCAAAGAGCCAAGAAGAAGAGAAAGTGGATCCTGCGACCGCCCTTCCCCATCCTTGGAACATCCCATTCGACGCTTTCGCCGAAGAGCCATCGTGGATAAATCCCATAAACCCGAGGAACGCGACGTGGCTACGAGTTTCGGCGCCAGGATGGCGACAAGTCTTCAGGGTTTTTTTAATTTACGGCGTGATAAATCGGCGCATCAACCACGAGGACGTTAAACGTACGACGGCCCCAAAAGGATCTCCAGAGGATGTTTTCGCGCGACCCCGACCCACCGGGGGGAAATTCTATTCCCGTCGTTCTCCGTGACCGGCGACTCCTGGGTCTAAGATGGAGAGAACGACCGGGGATGAAGACTCGCCATCGCCGATGCCCCAGATATTCGACGATTCCCTACAAGCGAAACGTCTCGCCGAGGGCCTCGAGGAACGCCATTCCTGGGAAGGGCCATTAAGACGCGGAGATTTATCGCCGAGGATAAAAGGCCTTTAAGGACCAGAAGAGGGAGACGTTCTCCGGGTCCTCCGGGTCTCCCCGGGCCGTTCTGGTCAGGGTCTCGAGAGCGAGAGCCCGTAAAATCGCCATAAGAGCGTCTACTTGGAAGCGTAAATGGCGAGGCAACTTTTTGCCCCCTTAACGGCCGACCCGTGCCAGGTACCCTGGACCTTCTCCAGGAGACGGTCGTCCTACGAGCCCATCGACAGGAGAAAAGTCTATTCCCGGCACTGGCAAGGACCGGTCTCTGGTCGGTTTTATACGTGGTAGACTGACGTAGATCCACCGATGGCCTGCCGTTTAATTATAGCCCGGTACCGAGTTTTAACCACTGGTTAACGGGCTCCCTCTTTCTCTCTCTCTCTCCCGGTCGTTCCCACGTCGCCCTCTTCTCTCGGTCTCAAAAAAGTCCACCTCGCAAAATCGAATTTTTCGGAGTCGTTCCACGTCCTCGCCGCCAGCCTTGAAACAGAAAAGGAGGACCTGAAGAACTTGACGGTCATTTTTTCTTTTTTTTTTTATGTATATATAGCGCGATCCCAATCCCCGTCATCGTCCTCCAAAACAGAAGGAAAATAATATTCGAAGCCTGAACGTCTCTCAGCGATGTCACTCTCGGATATCGGAGAGCTCGTTTTGGCATTCTCCAATCCCGCGAAGGAATTAAACGAGACCGAGCCGGCCAGCCAAATGTTTATCAGCAATAAATGGACGAGCGAGGCAGCCTCGTTAATCCCATCAACGTTAATTCGGACCTTTTTCCTCTCTCCCTCTCTGGGCATTGACGTAGTCGGTTGACGTTACCAATTGGGAGCAAGATTCCTGGTCGACGATTAGCGAAAGTAACGCAGGCCCTTATCGTTCCCAGGATAACGAGCGCGTTATCACTCGAGAACGCTACCGACTGGTCGATTGTCGATCCAGGCCGATTGTCGAGTGGCTGATTACGGGCCGCTTTACAATTGGATTACAGGAATCACGTAAACTTGGCGACTGATTTATGAATAAGCGCACTTCGAGTAACCAAGTTATGCGCGTCGCCTTTTACCGCCGGTTTAAGTAAACAGAGATATGTTAATGGGCTCGCTGATAGCCCGGTGACGCACCGTCAAGGCCTCACCGCCGGGAACATACCTTTGCGAGAAGACAATTATTTCCCCCGAGTTTTCGAGACTTCTAACGAGGAAACGCTACCCTAAGCTACGTAACGACGATGCAACGCTTCCCGAGAATCCGTCCGAAAGCCGGCAGAAATTCTCTTACAAGCCTCTTATTAATAGACTAAAGTGCGCAAGATTAATATCGATAAAAATTTCAAGTACAACACTCGTACCTCCATTCTAGCGTTAAAAGATGTCCTCTAGGTATTTAAAATATATATGGATAAAAAGCGCTTTTAACGCTAAAAGTGAGCTACCAAAAAATCTGGATCCCAGAAAATGGCTGGAAAATCAGGCACTGTCATGTCGCCATTTTTTTTCTACGTTAACTAGGGTCTAATTTAACTTCCTTACTCCTACGATCAACAAAGAAAGGTAATGGTACGTAAAGGGAATACGATGCGAGCACAGGACCGACAAAGGGTAGAAGCAAACGAATAAGAGACGTGTAGCGAAACACTAAGGGTTGGTGGTAACGGTGTCAGTAGTAGTGACGGTAGCAGTGATAGTAGTGACAGCAGCAGCACCGATGTACAGGGACAAAACACTAGCACTAGCAGTAAATGGGACCGACAAACGCATAAACGCAGAAACACAGCGAGCACTGTCACTGCTCGATTTTGGAACAAACTATTGTCAATGACAGCGTCGATCTGCTCTGCCGGGTAGCGTGTTAGCGGCAACCAACTGCGCTCTACTACGAACCGACATAAATCGACAGATGGAAGGCATTGTCGCTCTCCGGTGTACACTTGTAGTCCCCGTCGTGGTTTTCCCTTGCCTCCAGTGCCGAGAGTTTGCTAGTGCCGCTGCCACTCTTCGACTGGACCACCAACTGTCCACTCGCTAGCTCCGGCTCGAGAGATTGACCATTCCTTGTCCATCTGACGGGATCGTCCTCTTCGAGGCCTCTGCATTCTACGACCCAAGGCTGTCCGTCGTGGACGACCGGTGGCCCGCTGTAGACCACTTTTTCATGCGGAAGAAGAATCGTAGAATAGGCTCGCAGGCGACGCTGCCAGAGGGCTAACTTCTAATTGTCTGCGTCTACGGTAACTGTCTCACCTCCCAGGTAAATTGACGCTAAGCTAAGAAAGAGGACTCGACTCTGCCGAACGGTCTTAAATTAAAACGAGCGGTCGACCCAGCAATTGGCGGAGATTGTCAAGATTGTCGCGTGCACGTGTACCCCCTTGTGTCGTGATTCAAAAAAATAAATGGATGGGTATGCAGATAAGTAGATAAAGAAATGGGCATGTGTACAGAAAGGCGGAAAGTGAAAGTGAGTGGACTCTGGGTGAAAGAGCACGGGTCAAGGATACCAGTCGGTTGGAAAAATAAATTTGTTCCCGATACTGCAAGATTTATAACGAACTAGATAATTATCTACATCCCGTGTATCCAAATTATCCGCAAAGACACGTTCGAAGTCGCACATCTTGACCTAACGCATGATACTTTCATCGTGCCAGATGTGATCGACCTTTCCTTTGTGCTCATCGAAAAAAATAATTAAACTCACGAACGATCTTATTAACCAAATCCAATATCAAAAGTAACGAAAGTCATCTCAAAAACAGTTAACACTCGATTGACACATATTTTTATTTATGCTTAGGTTTAAAAAGTTCCAGGAAATTATTTGCTCAACTGTATTCCACATGAATATGATTCATCCTTACATTCCATGTTCCCTCCTCTACATTCTACAACAAAAAGTGGTAACAAGAATAACAATGAACTAGACTGTCACTTATAGTGATTTTTTGCTGCAATTTATTAGCATGTACTTTAAAGACACGATATTTGAAACAACCCCTTCCAAAACATTATTTTGGAATACTCTCTTCCAATGAATTTATTTAAGCTTCGTGTTTCAATGAAAACTGAGCCGAGCACAACTTAGAACGCATCTCTGAAGAATTCTTCCGTCGTCAGTAAGGTACAATCTCAGGGCGGTTCGAAAGACGCGATACCCTCGTTCCATTGTAACGAAAAAAAAATTTGGGAGGTGCGAGGTCGTTTCCGTTTCCAAGGATTTTATTTTAAACGGGATCTTGCTTCAAACAAGTCGATTGACCGCGTGAATAAAATACTGATGCTTTGTTCTCACCTTCCCGGGCGGTTGCTTGCGTGCACGCGAGTAACAACAGTCCCAGCAATGATATTGTAGACCCTCGTCTTCGCTCCATTTCTCTAGGTGTCCCTGAAACTGTCCTCGGCGAGGTTCCCGTCGTTGGGTGTGACGAGAGAGACGAATCCGCGACGGAGAGTTGAATCGCTTTGTCAGCTGAAACCGACGCGCTTGCAGTGCCAGTAAAGTCTGCGAAGCTGTCCCCTTATCGTATCTCTAAACTGACTCGTGTTTCTTAATTCCGGTCGCTCGAACAAGCGAGAGAATCCTCGACGAGACGGAGATCACGAACGACCTGCGACACGCGGAAAATGGCCGCCGTCTTCTGCTCGACTTTTACCGCGTAGAGCTGTCTCTCTCTGGTCCATTTTCGAGCGTATCCAGTGTCCTTGTCTGACGCCTAGCTCGCCTGCGAGTTCTCCCACCATGGCGACTAGGGATGAAACAAGATGGCGGCCATTTGGAATATCTATCGAATCTCTACTCACGGAAAAGTCGGAATTTAAGCGCGTTGGGTGTCACATGGAGCGCAACGAGTCACGCGTAGAGAATGAACAGCCAATCAGAATCGCGCTTAACCTCGTGTGTCACTTCCGTCGCCGTTCTGATTGGTTCTTCGTCTTCGACGCGTTCATGCGCCGCGCCCCGTGTGACACCAGCGCGCTCGCTAACCTCTTTTCACACTAGACACTGTGGTTGTGCTGTTAAATACCTTTTAATTCTCCACGTAATTTTTAGAAAATATTTTAGACTAAATATGAAGAGTATGTCGACCGTCGTCATAACGTCAGATACAGAAATTCGAAAACTGAAACCTGCACACCTCTATCAACTTGGGCAAATTCTGAATGTCTCCGATGCCTGGAAAAAACTGATGGCAATAGTGCCAAAAAGTGGATTAGATTGTACGCCGAAATTTAATGGAGAGCACTTCACGTCTGTAGTTTTTGTAATTTGTCATTGATATGTATGAGGAAATCTATTTGCTTTACAATATGTTTATGTTTAGGATGATCGAGCAAGCAGTGCATCAGCAACGGCGCTGTGGTGCTGAAATCTTTTTAGAAGAATGGGGCACCATGGGAAGAATAAGACCGACAGTGAATTTACTCCTCAAACTACTCATCAAAGCACAATTATTTAGAGCTGCAGATTACATTGCAGTAGACATTCTTAAGGGTAAATTATTTTTTTCATTCTTACGAATTAAATTTGATGCATATTATCGTACAATGTTTTTCATTAATTACAGGAAATCCTCCACAAAGACCACAATATGGCCCAGCTGCTATGATAGATGTTTCCGAAGAAGCATTAATTGAATTATTAAGAAAACAAGAAATACTTAGTAGTGACAATGAGATTTGTTCAGCAAATCAGGAAGTCGCCACCTGTTTTGGAGCAACCTTTGAGCAAAATTTACATGACATGCAATATCCTTTTAGTAGTATCGAGAATAGAAATGATTCACCCAAAAGTTCTTCTGATAAACTGTCAGATTTAATACAGTTTAGCACAAGCAGTATTTCCGACAATGAAAATGTTGATGTACCTCCTGTAACACGTCCAAACAAAATTATCAATCTCGACGCTTTGTCAACAACTTCTAAACAAACAAATCTAATTGTATTTAGTGCACGTAATAGTTGTGACAATGAAGACACAAATTATGAGCAAAATGTTCATTCCGATCAGTTCATTCCAGTTGTGTTGGATTCATGTAATCGATCTAAATCTGTTTTAAACGATACTGATGGTGACACTCGTAATGAAATTAATGTGGTGCAAGAAATGAGTACGAATGAGCTTCCAATGTTCATAGCAGAATTTTCTCCCCCTGGTATTTCATTTGAACACCAATTGGAATCAACTGAGCTACCTCTTTGTATTAATGAAGTAACCAAATTTGAATCCTCCATGTCTAGTTCTGAAGAAAATGATTCATATGAAACATCTTCCAGTAGTGCTTCAGACACAAACAGCAATGTAATTATAAATAACGTTCAAAATGTTCCCGAAGCTCTCTTGCAAAATGATAAATTATATGATATTGTTGAAATGCATTCTGTTAAGTTGCCACAGTGTGTCATTGAATTTGAAAAGAGTGCCAAGACGTAGTGTGTTTTTTTAAATAGGGCTACTGTATATATTTCAATTGATATCAAAGTTTAATATGTTGTACATTTTTTACTGTTGACATATTTATACGTATTCTAATATTCAGGAGTAAACATATTTGTATAATACTTACAAATTAAATATATTTAACACGGTTAAACTAAAATTGAAAGTGGTACAAACAATTAAGACAAGTCTGAATTTGCAAAAAATAGGACAAGAATGTTATACATCTGAGTACGGAAACTTTTGTTTGGCTTATCCTTAGTATTAAGGAAATACTTAATGCTCTTCTTCCGTGCTGTTCCCCTGTTTTCTGGTGAAGTATTCACTTTGTAGCTCTCTTAAATTATTTTCCAACATCGCTACCTCATCAAATTTACATTCAGCTCGAGCTTGCTTGATGTAGGATTGAATGTTATTCATCTGTTCAATAATTGGGTCCATGGTAGATGACAGGGTGGCAGCTGCTCCCGATGGACCCCAGCCTTCGGACTGATAGGGCACTTGCAACTCCTGTCGCCTATCTTTTAACACTTCGTCAATTTTAAATTGTCTCTCGTAAGCATTCCTTGCTTCAATCTGTTTCTCTTGAAGGGCAGCATACTCCTCTTCCGTGGGCAGTGCTGGAACGTTCAATAAATCCTCCTTCAAGAACAACATTGCACTGGCTCTGACCATCTGCCGCAATCGAAGATCCTGTCCTTGAGGAGCACTGTCCACGTCTTTAGACCCTAACACCAAAATTCCTTTACTGATCCCATCGATGTTCTCACCAACTTTGGCTATCTTCACGCGAAGCACCTGAGCGTCTCGTAAATCGTACATGGATTCCCCTTCGCTGGAAGGAAAGAGTCATTAATTCCGAATTTAATATTTCATATTTCTATTAAGAGAACATCGCATGCAATTTAAATTCATACTTCAACGACTGGCACATTCTTCTGTACATATCCAGGTATCGATTAGCCTCTTCCATATAGCGACGCATTTTTTCGTAGAATTGGCAGATTATTGGCCTGTCAAACTGTCTGGCTTTGAGCCTCTCTCTGGCGTCGAGAACTTCTTTACAAGGAGAACAAAGTCGAAAATGCTGTTCACCCGTAGAAGGGTCATTCACCAAAGAGAGGACACTATTCAAACTTCCACTGGATGGCGAACGAGCCAACTTCGTCAGGCCAATACCTGCTCGTACTATGCGGCCTGAAATTGGTGAGCCAGAGGATGTAGGTGAAACCGCAGTATCATCCTGAATGGAGACGGGACTAGTCATTTTTCCTGTCATAAATTATAATGTGTAAAAATTTGTTATTAGAAATTTATTATATATTTGTTATTCAGATTTGATTTCCTTTAACTAAATATACTTACGTGCTTCGGATAATGGCAGAAATATGGTACAATCATGGCACATGACGGCTCCACAAAGTCGGCAGTGATGTTTCCTTCGAGCGACGTGAAAACTTCTGGCACAGGTTGGACATAACTTAACATCCTTGTCATCTATCCATGGTACAATAGTCTGCTCATGTACTGCGTACAAATGATCATTAGGTTGTCATTGAAATATATTTGTATGCTAGGATAATTAATATACCTTTCCTATCCACTGGATCGGAAGGCAAGTTGCAAAGCAATTTATCCATTCGAATGAGAAGCTTGTTAGTTTCAAGTGTGTATCTTGCTAATCGAATATTTCTCATTTCTTTAAAGTATTTTGTATGACTCTGTATTGCACCTGTAAAGATTGTCCATAAACATATTGACTTACATTATCCATTAAAGAATATTACATACCTATTTCCTGTGGACCCCAAACAATATCAGGGCTAGTTCTTCGATCGATAGGTATTACTGGATCATTAAATGCTTCCGGTATTTCATCTTGCTTCAAGATTTTCTTCTTTGCCTTATCAAATAAATCTGAAAAAAATCAACATCGAGACTTACTCCGGTTACAAGTAAAATTCTTGAGAATGGAATAATCAAGCGATTACTCTTAATAACGAAACTATTTACCAGCTGTAAATAATACTTTACCTTTTAATGACTTTAAGATCTCTGGATCATCGTGGTGAAACTCTTCAAAGTGTTTGGTTAATTGAGTCGGCGTTTTCAAATCTGACATACAAATAGGGCATAAAAATCCCTCGAGAACTTCCCCACTTCCAGCCATGATTAATAATTTTATGGACTTAAATTATCTCAATGAGGAATGTAAATATGTAGAATATAACATCACACACTCGCAAGCGAGGAATTAACTTTGACGTTTCAAAAGGAGAGGTGTCTTTAACAGACATGTGTTGAGAGATTGCTCGAGTGCAGGACGTGTGATCGCATCCTGTGCTGCCCTCTGGTTTCGTACGTTAGCTTTCACCGTTTTTTGCCCCCAAGGGCGGCGCAACGAATTTCTGGTAGGGGTAACGCTGCAAATACGGAGAAAGCGAATGAACAATGAATATTATAACAAACCCGGAATAAACGCACTTTGCACTTTTTCAAGTAATTTACATCGGGTATAGATCTTGAGATGTAAATTACCTAGGGTAGTTTATGTATCCAACCGTGTTCACAGATCACAGATGACGTTGTTCACAGAAATCAGCAAAAAATCAAGCAAGGAATCAACATTAATCAATTCCAATCGATAAGATGGCGGCGATGGAGGCTCAGACTATAAACACGCGAAGAAAAATAATAAATCACGTTGTTTGTAGTATACTAGTGGAGTCTGGATTTGAAACGTGCGAGAAACAAGCTCTAGAATGTCTGACAGAAATGATTCAGTCCTGTAAGTAGTCGTTAATGCCTTTTACTTTAATTTATTTTCACTTAACCTCAATTGCATATTTATTTCGAAGTGTATTTATAAACACCATTTCATTTCTGTCATTTTTAAAATGTAGATATAGTACAAAAGTGTCTCCCTTGTTATTTTTCTATTACGTCTAGATCGCACTTTTACATTTTCAGTTATCGTGGAAGTGGGCGAATCGGCACGTAACTACTGTGAGCTGTCTGGAAGGACGGAACCACTCATAGCAGATATAATACTAGCTCTAATAAATATGGGGATAAAGTTAGATGGAATGGAGAATTATGGGAAGCGACCAAATAGGACTATACTCCCGTTACTTCAGCAACAAACGCAATCGAAGCAGTTAAATATTCTTCAAGCTGGGGTCAAGCAAAATCATCCAGCGCACATTCCGAATCATTTGCCTCCTTTCCCAGACCCACATGCTTACATCAGGACACCGGTATGTTCGTTAATCTTTTCTTGAGTTTTTCAAAATTAATCGTTCAGATTACTAGCTGGCATACCAATTGATTTTTAATTTATGTTCTTGCATTTTCATCAGACACACAAACAACCGGTTACAGAATACGAAGCTATAAGAGAAAAGGCTGCATCCCAAAAGCGGGATATCGAGAGAGCGCTGACACGATTCATTGCAAAAACTGGAGACACGCATAGCCTCTTTCTTACAGATGATAACAGCATGTTCCCTTGTAAGCAAATACTTATTTAAAAATTTATCCATTTCACCAATTTTTGTAGAATTAATAATTAAAGACTCGTTTCCGTTTGCAGTGATAGCTTGTAAACCACAGTTCCCTAGTTACCTTTTGGCTCTTCTACCTCAGGATCAAATATTTGAGCCAGATCCAGAATTCCACTTTGAACCAAGTCCTGTTAAAAAGAAGAGGGAACTTAAAGTCGAAGATACAAATGAAACTACTCAGCGTAAGATATATTTTAATATACTCAATTTCATTTTTATATAAAATGATAACACCATTGTAATACGGTTATATAAATTTAAGTATGCACTTCTTCAACTCCACTTGCACTTTTTTTTAGCAAATAAAACACAGAGTGAAGACATTGAGCAAAGTGGAGAAACTATGACTCAGCAGGACGCGATAGACAATCCATATTTACGGCCAGGAAAGGTTCCTAAAAACAAATTACAGGGATCCTCTGCTCTTGGATCCCAAATGATAAAAAGGGATTTATTGGAAATGCCACAAGGAATGTCAAGTCATGTACCTCTTGAGAAAAATGTCCATTCGAAGTGTTAATATACAAAAACTTTAAATTTAGATAGATTGAATAATCTGTATTTGTAAGACGGTTTTGTTAATAAAAATTATTTTATTACGATATAAAGAAGGCATGGTACAATAGTGTAATAAATATAGAACCAAGTCTATAAACATTCCAGTTTCAAGCTATCATAATAGCTTGGACGTAGTCTAGTTAACGCTAGTTGTGTTAATAAAATATATGCCACGTCTCTTCCTAGGTTTATGCAGAAGTTACGACTATTCAATCTTTTTAAGAAAATTGTTATCTAGTATATTGCTCACACTTATATTGCACGTTACTATAGCACCATCTCGAGGAAGAATCGCATGTATGAAATGACACGAGAAGTGATTGACTCCTAAAGATCGCTCTTATTGCACAAAGAGGTTTTACAAAAATAGATCATACGTACATCCACAATTAATGAATGTATTCATATGAGGTTCTAGAGTTATTAGCAGCACTGTAAATTACATCATTAGGCCTGTAATTTTATCAAACACAAGGCAATCTAGTTTTCCATTGAAAAAAAAAATGTTTTCGTTGGAAAACTTAGTAGTTTCACCATTTGTAAATAAAATGGATATATTTAACATAAAATAGCTGCAATTAAAGGAAGTTTGACCTGAATATTCTGTGAACATTGCACAATCCAGTACCAAATTTGTTCGGACTCAAATAATTTTTGAGACCCATTAATTCTTAACTATGTGTTAAAATTATTCCCAATCTTTCCCCTGAGTGCCTTCATCATCAATCAATCCACTTACACAATTTCAATGCGAGATCCTGATCACAATGTTAACGCATATTGGCACTATTATCATTTTCTCCTCACCTATTGGTTTCCTACAGGCATTAGACATCATCAGATTTTTACGAGCGATCAATTTTACAGCATATCCTATTAATATCGTTTAGCTCTTTTAATTCTTGATTTACGAAAATAATTCAATACCTTGTTACTGCTACTGTCATTTAAAGGTATACATAACCTTTAAACGAGCTAAGCTACCCTGCGGTATACCTCCAGTAGAAACATAGAAAATAAGCGAAACCATTCGAAATAACTTAACAAGTGAATGCAAACCAATTCGATACACTTGACTAAAAACGAGGAAGATACAAAATATTAAAAAAGGAGAGGCACATGGGGAAGCTCGAAGAGTATTATGGAGTGTAGCGTAAACTATCGAGATAATAAGTTTCAATATTAGAGAAGAATGGAAAAATCCATATACTTTGTGAAGAACACTCGGACCTTCGCAAATGGTTTTGCTTACATTCGATGGGCTTCTACGGACAATGTTCGATCTGGAAGTTCGACGACTCTTCATCGATGAGGTAATTCGATAGGAATTACCAAATGGCTGCCTGTTACTCGAATAATTCGGTTTTCGTTTATCTTACGACTACCGGTATCCATTCTTGTGTAATATCTGCTTAATACTGGTACCAGGGTTGACGTCGAACCCATCTCAGCTTCATACCAGACGCAGTACGAATTTTAATGCTGGCACACTCAGCTGCTCGCACAGTTTCTTTGACACTCTGCATAAGGTTCTGCGCGTTTCCGACCAGCATGTCAGTAGCTTCTTGATCCTCTTCGGTACCTACATTAAATTCCGCATATTAAAAAAGAAATATCGATACAGACAAATAAAATAGAGGGTCGATTAATATTTTCACTATAATACGTGTACAATTGCTGATCATTACGTCAAAGTTTTAATTATATAAAATATTTAAAATATGAACAAATTCGAAAAGGAGGATTTATTAAAATTTCGATCGAAAATAAGGCACTTTAACATGCGAGTGGAATTTCATTAATGGTGCCCACCTTACAAACTGTATTATTTTAGATTCGGGAATAAAACATGCTTTAACAAAAATGCAAGCACTAAATTCGCAAAAGAATTATGGGCTTTAATTTTACGGATGACTTTTTTTTTTAGACTTTGGCAAGCACTTTGCAACCTGTAAGCGAAATTGTACGATTGATCTTTCACAACAAACAACAAGCTGACCAATGTGAATGCAAGTGTACGAGTAAACGTTAGGGTGTACGTCCGATGGTTTTCGGTGAAATAGAAAAAACGACAAAAATTTACCAATTTTTGGAATGTCATGAAATTTAACAAATCAAATGCCTTTTTACGTGAATATGATGATTCTAAAACAGTTGGAATATCAATTAGTTACGATCCAAGTCGGTCTAAATGAAACTGATCTAGCTAGGACTGCATTAACTGACTTACTGCACCCAATCAACAAATCTGCAAACGCCGCCACCGTACCAAGTGAAGTGCAACAAATAAACAAACGATAAGTCGGTTAATATAATTCGTAGATCTACGAGGGGAACAGACGTGTAAAGTTTCACAGCGAGAGATCTCACACACCAGATACACAGTGTAGCAATATACAAATCTCACGTAAAATTTCAATACATCAACATTAAGAGCCGTAAAAAGGAAACGAAGAAATCAGGAAACAGTCCCAGTAATTCGGAATAAATGTCAGTAATTAATACTCTGAAAAGTAGAAAGTATTCCCTAAGCATGCAGTAACGTGCATAGAAAAACGTGTGATGTTTGAGGTGTTGCTAATTGTAAATTGAACCACCGATTACTTTTCACTAGATGAACAACTCCGAAGTGAAGTTAGGCATGTTAAAAAGAAAAAAAAACTAGACGCAGTAATTGGAGGTTCAAGACCCTGTCGATACTAGAAGTGAGATGGAACGTGGTGCACAAGAAATGTGATGCATCTCATGAGGAACCAAGACTGAGTAAACAGATACAGCGAACAACAGCAAGCACGGTGTTTGTACAGTTCTTTTACCATACAGCATCAGCTCTTCCCAGGTGGGGAGCATCTCTATGCATAAAAAAATACAGATTCGTGTTAACGTTCGCAGAAATCGTAAGATCCACCCTATGCACTTGTAAACGCCGTTTCGATCCTCGAATCGACAAAGAAACTCCCGAGGAGCTCGCACCGAAGAGGTTAAAAATTTTCCTGAAGACCTTGAATAAATTTTAAATAAAATGCCAAATGACGGATGCTTAATGCTTTTTACAGATGACAAGGAGCCAATGAGCGGCGTATGATAATTAATGAGCCATCGAGTAACACGTGAGCTGAAGCTTCCACACGAGTCTGGAGTTCGAGGGAACAAGACTTACCCTGTGCTCCGAGCATAGTAGCCTTCACCGTAGACAGAATCTTCAACTGTGTCCCAATCGTCGGTATACGTTCGCAGACTTGAAGCAGATTCTGGACATAACAAAGAATGAATTAAATAATTCCACCATCCCGGAAGAAAGGCAAGGGACATAAATTAACTACGTCAGAAAGCTGCATTACCGTGCGTATACGTTTGTCGGTACACTCTCTGGCGAGCTCCTTGGCAAGGCGAGTAACTTCTTGAGAAGCTTCCGCGATGGCTTTTGCACATGCAATCAAGTCCCTCTTATTGCCTCCTTCGCCCCTGACCAACCCGGAGAGTCTGCCCATCAGGATCGCCATCTTCTTGGCAGCAGCGATGATCTCGTTGTCCTTGCTGGACCACTGCCGCACCTCTTGATGTAGACCATGAGCTGCCATCTACAATTTAATATTATTTAATTCAGTGTCACTTAATTTCAGGTCTTCTCACATCATTCAATATTAAGAATTGACAACTGATATATAACTAGAACCACATTACCATGATCGGTTGATTCGGCTGAGGAGCGTGCATGAACATTTCATCTTCGTCATCTGTTTCGGGTGGAGGTGGTCTCGGGGGAGGAACATCGCCTCCAGGCAAAGGCGGCCTTGGTGGTGCAACTTCTACCCAAAATTAAGAAAAAATTAAGAATTACTCTAGAATTAATCCATGTAAGTTCACCAAAAATAATCGCCCATTTCTATTAATGCCGGGCACTCAAGCAACGTGTACTCTGGCATTTAATAAGTTACATTAGTGGATTGAACGATACGTCACTTGTATCATACCATCATGCTGCAAAAATACATTTCAATGCACAACGCAGTCTCGAATTAACGCAGTTCATAATTAAGTAAGCGAACGTTCATCGGAAAGGATTTGTGATATAATTTGTTTTTCCCCACTTTCACAGACGGAGATAAGAATACGATCTGATATTAAGGGAAATCATACCATCGTCGTAGTCAAAATTCTGCCAATATCCTGACAACGGTCCGGGCAGCATTTAAAATTGCAAATGATCAGTTAAATGCGTTCAGGAGCCGTGCAACTTTTTACATGCAATAAGCGAGTCTCCTAATTGCGGCGGTGACAAGTTCATTCGTTATTAAATAAAAATCGATACACGAAAAGACATGTAGAGGAACATCAAAGAGGACTCGAACTGTCCATAAAAATGCACGCCGTACGATGCTGCGAAATTACCTCCGATTCGAGCCGACTTTTGCAACTCGTCCTCGGAAGCCAGTTCTTGGTACAAGAGATCTGGATTATCTCCTAACAGTTAAAAAAAAAAATGTTAAGCCTAAAAAAAAGTGATCGTAAATCCCGCCACGGTGAGGAACAAAAGCGCCATGCTGCGGAATATAATCGAAACAGAGCGAAAATAAAATACCAATCGTTTCAGATTGTAAGCTCAGAGAGAGGCTCTTAACAAAGTGGCGTGAAAGTTGCTGGGGAACGCAGCAAAATGGAATTTCCAGGCTCTTGGCTTGCCAGCCTAAAGTAAATTGGTAAGCGAGTGTCGGATTCTAATGTGCATTCTTGGCGGGTAAAACGATTAATCTGTTGCTGTACCTCCACGAGCCCACTTCGGTAAAGGACTGACCGATCGATGTTGGGATCTATTAACTCCCAAAACAGGACTAGTGACACGCAAATTGCTGGGTGAGGGCTGATTCCTCAATGGCTCACCGACTAACAGTGGAAATCATTTTAGAGTTACAAGCTCGGATCTTCGTGCTGCAGACTCAAGTACATTTCGACTGCAGTTATCAACCTCACCGATCGGTTAAATTTAGTCACAGTCTAGATTCTATACATGTGGTTAACAACAAAATTCTAAACATCCTCCGAAATGTACCTGAGTTCACAGGGGTCAATTCGACTACCATTAATCGATTAAAAATGTAGACACACTCGAGACAGAGAGAGTGAGAGCGGTTCAATGGGCAAATTTGAACCGCGGTATCTACTGCGACAACTACGATGAATGTAAATTATTCCGAGAGGCACGGAACATAGATGAGTGTCAAATTAATTGACATTCGCCTCGCAACTATCTACAAATGTAGCCTCGATCCAGAAATTACTAGGCAAAGTTCTCAAGAAAATGATCATGCACATCCGAGGTTTACATCCAAGCAAGTACCTTTGTCCGTGAAGTAAGTGTACGGTTGACTCAATAATAAGCCGTCTGAAAAAAAGATAGAGTTTCTGCATGTTTCCGTTGAAAGGTTCTTTTAGACACGAGGCTAACCCTTCCTATATTTTTAGAGAATCTGTGATCGCTGCTATACCAACAGTTACGACGTTAAGCGAAAAGCAAGTAACCAGCACTATCGGCTTACCATCTTTGAGATGCAACTGCGACATGTCCGGAGGAGCAGGTATCTCCGGGTGCACGGAAATGGCTTTCCTCACCAGTCCGACGTTAGCTAATAACTACACATATAGAAAGAATTAAATATCAGGACGATGTCAAGCTTAATAATCAACATTTTTAATATCAGTCACTTACGGCACGGTTACTTTCTCTCCAGCGCGAAACGGCCGGAGCGTCGTTAGTATTAATAGCTACAGCCTTTGCGTTTTGTACCATTGGTGCGACGCCTGTACAAATGAATTATTTTCCATTACGGAATAAAGTGACGCCTCTTCGGAGACATAACAGAATCGATCACGGCATGATACGTACTACTTTGCAGAACATCAGCCGAGTGGTTGACGCGCTGAATGAATGCCGGATCCTCGCTGTTGTCGCTCTCCTGTTTAGCCACGAGAATTACCCTGTTAGCCAATCTAGCTATGGCTGCGGTATTGTCGACCATTTTCTGAGGCTCGCCCTTGGCGATCGCGTCCTCGCAGAGGAACGAGTGCTTCTGTATCTGTTCCTCGGATAATCTGACAAAGTCGGAGCTGTCGGTCGCCTCGTCGCAGAGGGCCCTGGCCCTCTGCATAGTTTCCGCGTATTGTTGCCGAAGATTCTCGAAGTGCTCGTCAGCTGCCTTGCTCTCGGGATAGGTCATGCGAATGCGACCAGCGTTTACAAGCTGCGGAGTCAGAGACTCAACCTGAGAAGCGCTGGCCACCAAGGCTTCCGCCAGTTTTTTATTTCCTCCGCTTCCTGCAGAGATTAAAAAATCGCTGATGAAAAGTCACAAATGAGAAATAATTTCCATCGCTGCTTACCACCAGCTGCCACCATCCTGGCAGTTTTCGCAGCCCTGCTCGAGAAGCTCTGCAACGCGTTCGTTTTGTAATTGAATTTTTGCTCCCGTCCAGGTGTGCCTTCCGGAGCTAAGACTGCGTCGGTGAACTGCTTCAACGGCGTCGAAATGTCGATGAAATCCTCGACAACCCTGGATACGACCGCCTGCTGAATTCGGTTCTTCAGCTCGTACAGTTTCTGCGATAGCTGCCGTGCGACCTCCTGAGCTTGGGGGGTGCTCCCAAGGTGGTGGCTGCAAAGGTCGCTCAACTGGTGAGAGAGATTGTAGACCTCGTCGCACAACTGCAGGATCTCCGCCTTGTGTATTCCAGGCAATCCCTCGGCAACCTGTTCGCCAGCGGGTCGAAGAATTAAAACATTTCACGCAATAGGGAAAAAAAATAAAAAACAAATTTGACATCGACAAGCCTAGGAATTATATTTTTCTGTACCTTCTTTCCTTCGAGGATGACCAACGCGATCGCTCTCTTACCAAGGCCTTTGTCATCGTGCTGGGGATTTAAAAGCCATTTGTTAGCCTGCTCCAGTCTGCCAGCTACGGTGTGTGCTGTCTGTGCCACTCCGGACTTGTCAGCTTCCACGAGAGCAGAGGCAACCATGAACCGAAGGCTGTCCAATTTTTTTTTTATTCCACGAGAGAGAGCCTCCGCTTGTGGTGTGTTACCTGTGAAAACCATTTTTACCATTATCCAGTACGATTTAAAAAAAAAAACGATTCGCGATTAAAAAGAGAACTCAATTGAAATTAATACCTTTGCCATCCTGACGCAGCTCGCAGAGGGCATCGGTCATAGTTGTTATTTGGGAGGCCGTCTTCGACAAAGATTCTGCCTGAGAAGGTGGAAGATACCGATCCGCTAGTTTCACGGCTTGTTCAACTATTTGTCTCAGACTTTTCTCCCCTACGCCACCTCGCAATGCGTTCCCATCGTCCAGCCAATCGTGCGCCGTTCTTACTCGTGACTCTATTGCACTCTGTGCCTTCTTCAGCACCTAATTTCAATGAAAATTTTTTTAATAAGAAGGTCATGCCTATAATTGCAATAAAAGCAACTGACTTACCGTCAACTGATCAGCCTCCCATTCCTCCTCGTCGTATGTAGTCAACTGAAGAACACGAATTATTTCGTTCAATTCATCGGACATGCGACCTGACAGGTAGTTTCGATTTTCAGCAGCCTCGTCCGCACCTTTGCCTCCTTGAGAAATAATGTGAATGAAGATCTTCATGGAGCAAATAAGGATCGGTGCCAATGTCTTCACCTGTAATCATCGATTCCAGTAAAATATTTTCTGATATTCTTATTAGTAAATATACCTGTTTTTAATATATACTTTTTTTTTACTTATTATAAAATGTACAGAGCTAAGGAATTACCTGATCGAGGCAGCGTATCAAAATCTCTCGATGGACCTGATGGGTGAGCTCCTTTTCGCGAGCACTCACTTCCCGTGATACTTTGCTGAGACAAGGACTGAGATTTTTCAAAAAGTGCACCAAGTCCTCCATCGTCTCAATGACTTCTGCCACCGCTAAATAATCCAGAACGCGTTTACACTCGCGGATGATTTTTCGTACTTCGCTCTCGTCGAAGCATAACAAAAGCGAGCTAGTGCCTTGAAGAATACCCCGCGAGCCTTCTATAAGTTTCTTTCTGGAAGGGAAAAAAAATTATTGTAATAGAAACGGTCACCGTGGATCCTCTCTGAATGGTCAAAATAATTCTTACCTTGCCGGTCCAGAATATGGGTCTTGTTTCAACATATCTGAGGCCTCCTCCAAGAGCCTCGATGCACCTTCGACTCTCTGTAATGCAGAGGGCATGTCTTGCTTCAATAAGGCATCATCGGAGGAATTAATAGTTTCCTTTCCCACCTGTACAAAAAATATATTATGAAACACGTTATCGGTATCGAATAAATTATCTTTGAGAGAAGAAACAGGAAGAAAGGTATTAAAATTTATCCTCACTTTCACGAGATTCGCCACAGCCATGCTGACAGCCTGAACTGGCCTGCCCAGATCTGGCATAGCGTTCCCATCTTCAGCCTCTTCGTGTAAAATAACAAGTCTTGAAACCTGAGAAAAAAGTACATCTTGATTTAGCAGGTTTCAGTACAGATACTTGGAAGTAAATTAAAAATGTCCAACCTATCGTAAAACTGCTCCTGAATATATTCTAACCCTCGGAAAGAGCATAAAGTGATTCTAAATTTAAATATAAAAATACCCGGCTGCAAATAAATTCATACCTACTTCCTCCTATTTTTATCGGAATGCAGCATTTCATTATCACCCAGGAAGCTTTTCAATTAGATCCTTTCTGTAACTAATGACGTGACATGTGACTCAACAGCTCTCCCGCATTCTCGCGTAATATCTCGCAACTGCGGTAAACCCCTAATTTATTTTTATGAGCTGACTTCCGGGAAAAAAAATTCATATGTGTCATACAGTGCAACAGACACGAACTTCCTAATATCAGGTTTAACCATGATCTGAAATCGCTACTAATATCTCTTCGGTAGGTTGGAGGCAACGAGCAAGGTTCCATTCTAAAAGGTGAATGGTGCAATCCTTATTTAGTCGAATGGTATACTATGTTATTACCATAAAATGCGTGGGCTCTTTCTTAAGATCCAACGTCCCTACATATTTGAAGCAAGAGAGAGAAATCAAGTAAAGAGAAGAAATACAGAAAATACATTCTGGTTTTCTCCATTAAGATATACAAGGACGATTACAAATTCAAGATACAATGCAATAGATAAGGTATATTTTTAACATATGTACCGATAATGTCTGTGACATTTGTACTTTAATATCGTCATATATATCTATATCATCTCGCAATGAAACCTTGGAACTTGCCTGCTGCTACAGTATGGAAGGTGTTTTATTTTAGGCCTATATTTTTAGATCTCATATACGAACTGATTCCGGTGTGCCATTGGAGTAGTCTCAACGGGGAGAAACCGTGTTTCTCTTTTTTGACCTCTGCTACCGTTCTATGTAAAATGATAGACAGCTACTCTAATTATTCATAACGAAGGTTAAACCTTTCAGCAATTCCTGGTTCTTTCCACACTAGTTATACATACAGGGTCCTATAATTGTCAAATAGTGAAACGGTACAGGCAAGGCAGTAAGTAACAGAATTAGCCAGCCCGATGAGTCAGTGCTGAAACTAGTGCCGCCGCCTTACCATTATTACACCATTAGCTTAAAGCATTCCTCTTAATTACCCCACGGCAACCACCCCAGCAGTTAAACATGATTTCTATATTAACTCTTTGAGTGCCAAGAAGCGTAGTAGCGCTGCTTAATGATGAGCAATTATATTGACACTTAAATGGTTAACGTTAATATACTCGCCGACTACACCTTTACCAGTTCCAATATAAAAAAACGATAGACAAGTGACGATATGGGAAAAAAAATTCTATTAGCATATTCATTGTCTCCACATTCTTCACAATGCTTTTACATAGTTATAATCACAATTACAAAGCTCCGACAACTCCTTGAACGTCCCAGATAACCTCTTCTTTATCAAAGGAGTTCTGTGACGAGGTTGTCTCTGTTGCAAAATTGTTGATAAAACAAAAGTTCATTTCCTTGAAACATCCCATGCCGAGGAGCACTAAAAGAATACTCAGGGTAGACATAAAAGGAACTCGGCATCACCTAACCTACTTTTGACAAATTATGTCATGTCTATATATAACGAAACGATCTTTCCTGCCCACTCCCTTGGTTTCCACTTCCCCGGATTAGTAATACGCTTAATGATCACATTTAACCGCCTTTGAAAAATCGAGATGTGTTTCGATTACCTGTTAAACATTGGAAACGCCTTGACAGCGGAATATAACGTGCAGGAAGCCGCGGAGGACGCCGGATGATCCGGTGTTGAATTTCCTGATGACAGACTCCAGTGCGAAAGTGAGCGATTTCAGTAAACGGGCAAGTCACTTATTGGTTACATCTCGTGACTTAAAATATATGATAAAAATAGGACGGAGTACAACGGCTGTTCCGAAATTAACCGCGGACTCCGAGATGTCGCATCCTTGTCGGACACGCAGCGACAGACAGAGAGAGAGAGAGAGAGATAAGAAACTTGCATCGTTACTGACAGCTAAATTAAAACGTGAAACACATGTCGATAATTTAAAGGGACGGGGTTACGACTCCTTGCGGACGTTCGCCGACTTTTTCTCGAAGGAAGAGTGATATAGGGAATGTGAGCGGGGGAAAAAAAGCGAGAAGCATTGAGCATTAAGAAAGTTGCGAAGAAAGATTTGCGAAAGTCGTTGAGTACCTGCTGAGCCACTGGCTCGAGGATGCTTTCTATGGTTTTCGTGTGAAAGACCGGCATTTTTGCGGGCTTATGGCTCTCCAAATCAGTTACGGAACACACGAACTGGACACGCACACGCGAGGGAGTTTAAGCGAGCTGCGGCCAAGGAAAATATTGCAAACGGAACATGAAACGCGGAAATCATCGACACGCGACAGCAGACAAAAAACAACTGACACGAACAGGAGGACGGCACTCCCATGTATTGGAGTATAAAGCTTTCGAGAGCTGCGCCATTTAATTCTAACGGACGCGAGGTAAACTAAATCTCTTGGCGGGCTATTTGAACCCACATATTTTCCTTAGGCACGAGATGGGAGATTGCTCATGGGTAAAGTCGCGCGATGTCCTGTGCTGCCCCCGGTGGAGGATGTGGACAGCTGATGCACTTACCATCTGATACCCTCAATGATTAAATTTAAATATTCTCCTATCTCTGTCTCCCACACTCTGAAATTCATACCTTTTAGCCTTAAGTCTCGTTCTCTCTATACCAGAATTCTTCTACGTTGAATATTTTATTTACAGTCCTTCCGGGAATATTTCACCTCTCCGCCTGCCTAACGGAGTCAAGTTCACGTCTCTCTCCTCGTCGTTACGAATTTTAACCATGGTTTTGACTAGGGTTTTTTTTCCCGATTTGCGCGCGAATGGGTTGTTTCTCTTTCTATAGAGTGAATAATCCCGACACTAGCGCCGTGTTCGGTTGAAACGGGAAATGAACGCCAAGCGTAAGGCGGCTTTCACATTTTCACTTTTAGCGGACGCGATTATTGCGTACATTATTTTCTATATAACTTCCAATAGCACATAATTATACGGCAAGTCGCTAATATAGCTGCAGGGAATTACGTTGATACATATATACGACTGAGTCGGAATTTTGAAAGTCTCGGCATTCGGGGTGAAGGCCGCTTTACACCCCTCCCGTAAGAAGTGTCGTGCCCCTGGACACGAACCAGGATGAACTCAGTCGGCGAGCGCAAGCGGACGCGGGCGTGTCGTAGCATCTCACCGTGACGAGTGACGCGGGTGATCGTGCAAGCTTTCCGCGTGAAGAGTCCTCCCTAGGGAGTTTTCACGCGACCGGCGGCCATGGGCCGGTCGAGACTCAGATTCCGAGAAATCCGCCGGCGCGACAGGTGATCGCAAAAAAGGCGACCGGGAAGAGGCTTCGTCGAGACGTTACCTGCGGCTCCGAAATAATCCCACCTCGGATATTATGCTAAACGCGACGCTGCCAGAATGCGAGAGGAAGAGCTCGAGATATCACTGAAGGTAATTTAAACCTGGGATGTTTTGACTCTCCAACCATGAAATTCGAAATTCTAATGGTAAAACCCATCGGCTCCAAAACGATTCAAGAGATGCGTCCTTTATCAGGCATCGAGGTGAGCCCGAGGAATAACTCGGTTGGCGTCTAAAACAAAATATAACTAATCTGAAAAATGATAGAAATAACGGCGGGTCATCGAAACCTTCGAAAATTCTTTTAAACGATATTTGCCATCTCGAGACCACGTGACCGCGTAGGTGCCGCCCTCTGAGAAGGGTACGGGGGGGGGTTTAATTAATTTTTTTTCCTTACACCTCCACGCCAACGTAACGACGCCTTTCCTCTTGCCGTTAATTAATTCGAGAGGGGCTCGGCGAGTTTCTTTCCCGGAGAAAATCCAGATCTCAGGGAACTCATTCGCGAAAATGCTACATTTGCAGGTTGGAAATCCGCACTCGAGTTCCCTTGTAATTCGAGGGACATAAAAATGTCCTCGTACCCACGGTCCGGTTTACATACCCTGGCACTTCTTGCCCCTCTTCCCCGAGCTGAATACGACCAGGTGTTCTCGGAAAAGCGATCCGGCAAAAGGTGCACAAGAAATGACGCTATTTACAGCTCGCGACCATGTAGGCAAATCACGTGCCGCCTCTTCTGGGCAACCCGTGTGCTCGGAATTAATGCCTGGAATCGAAGATCGAAACTCAAAACGAAGAAGTACCGAGTTTCGTTGGGTCCCCTTCGTTACTTATACCTTCGCTGATAAATATGAAACAATTAGAAATGAACTAGGTAGCCTTGCCGGACGTTACGCTCGATCAATGGCACCGCGTCCGGCACATTCGGGCATTAATGCCGAGGTCCTGTAATCCGTCTTGTAATCGATCGACCGCTTATTTCCGTAACCCGGAGGTCACCTTTTATGTAGAGCCATTGAGCGTAGCGCCAGGGAAGGTTCATTGCCACTTTTCGAGTCACCTGGGTCACCTTGACGTCGCACGGCGCTGCCGTCGTTCCGGCACGTGCTCGCGCGGTGGAAAACCTAACCTGCCGGCCTCGCTGCCGGCAGGTAAGGCCTAACGGTCGCCGGAAATTATTTCCTGCGATAAATCGTCCCACGGGTGACACATCGTAGACCGCTCGACCGTGTAATCGGTGATAAAGGCGCGCAAGGACGTCACTTCCCGCAACATCGATAGGTTATGTCCTTTCGCGGGGCGGGTCGCTTGGTACGGCGCGGTGCCGCGGGGCGGCGCGGCGGGCGCGACACGGTAGCCGCCCCGCCGACAGGTGGACCCCGACACAGGTGCACCCCGGGCTCCTAAGGTGCGTTTCCTGATCCAGGGGACCGGTTTTTGACGGCAGGCGCATACCCAAGCCATTCCCGATTTAACCCACATCGACCGACACCGTTACGCGTACGTACCGACGCCCGGCCGAATTATTTAACGACGTCCCGAGGCGCGAACCGACGCCCCCCGTTCCGGTACAGGGGAAATGCCGGCATTCCGGTGGAACCGGTATCAGCCAATCAAGCCACGCGCCTCGGAGCCTTGACCGAGGTGCAAACCAACTCCCATTCGGATCTTCGGATCGATTTTTTATTAAATGCATGTTGGAGGAACACTTTTCTCTCGAATTCCCCAGGTCTTTAAGCCGAAGATCTCGTTCCTAGGGAGAAATTAATCCCCGTGAGATCTCGGGATTTCGCGAGGTACCCTGCGGACCGTTACTTGGATGTGGGGTGATTTATACACATGTTGTTCAGGTATATAAGCGCGTTAAGGACGGAACGACCCGCCGGGAGACAGGTGCATGCGATGGCGCGACGATAACGATAACGCGATAACGGGGGACCACGTGTGAAATATCTCTCTCTCTCCGTTTTATTGTCGCAGAAAAAGGCGACCCATTATCCGGGACACGGTTATCCGACATTAAGACGCTGGATTTTACCAGGCAGACAATTTACTCGGGTTTGTTCCCAGGGACTTTAATGCCGCGAGAGTTACTTACAATTAGAGAGCCACTTAAGTTCTCCCCTCTACCTCTAGCGGCGTAGTCGGGTGCGCGCTCTTCGCATAAATCTCTACGCGCCTCCGTACGGAAATCGCGCCTGCGAAACGAGTATTTATGATCTTCCCGTTAAGGTAGACCGAACCCTGCGACCCTTCAATCGGAACTAGACCTAGGGCTGGGCAATTATCAATTTTCGAGCAGCCGAGGGGAGGAAAAATTAACGCCCCTTGATTTTTCAGGTGGTGATAGTCGGGAACGGAGCGGTGGGGAAGTCCTCGATGATCCAGAGATTCTGCAAGGGCACCTACACCAGGGACTACAAGAAGACCATCGGCGTCGACTTCCTGGAGCGGCAGATCGAGTAGGTCCCGCGAATCTCCACGTCCGGCGCGGTGCAACGATCGGAGGCACGCCTCGCGTAATTAGGAATAATTACCCGGACCTGTACGCGAGCACTTAACGATACGTCGGCCCCTCGTCCCATTACGGGGCGGGCTAAAACCGCGGATAGGGTACTCGGGGCCCGGCGAGGTGCACCTAACCGTAATCGCCGGGTCGAAAAGGATCTCGCGAGAGCCCCGATTTGCATAAGCGTTCTCTCGCTCCCTCCCGGCCATGAGAACGCCGATCTATCCGACGTACGTACGATCGTGGGATCCTCCGGGCTCGTCCGGGTCGTCGCGTCGAGCCCTCGAGCCCTCGAGACACTCCACCGCGAGAGATATAATTTTCTTTTAATTTTTATAAGCCTTTTAAATTTCTTTTTATACGCGTAAGAATTGAATTTCACGGGCGATCGGACACGTAGATGGTCGCCAGGAGCTCGACTTTCGTTTGACCATTCTCTTTTCCAGGGTGGACGGTGAGGACGTAAGACTAATGCTTTGGGACACTGCAGGTCAGGAGGAATTCGACGCGATTACCGCGGCGTACTACAGGGGTGCCCACGCCTGCGTGTTGGCGTACTCTGCGACCGACCGGGACTCCTTCGACGCCATTCCCTCCTGGAAGCTGAAGGTATAGAGCCGGAGGAAAATCCGGCCACGCCTTGGACTATTAGGCTCACCTGCGCGCCTCCTCGTCGCCCACCTGGGGACAGGTGGGCTCGGGCGTTCTCCTCCGGGACCGGAACGGCGCGGTGCTCGCGGTCCCCGATGTACCGTACGGTATGCGAGCGATTCCCATACGGGAGAGATTCTTCTCGCGATCGCCGGCGCCGAGGACGTCGGGGATCGCGAGGTGCACGCGCCCGGTACCCGCGAGATAGAGGAAAAGAGAGAGAGGGAATTCCTCTGGGAATTTCGAGGAGCGAGAGAGGAACGAGATGATCTTTCGGCGCCACGCGGAGGGAACGCTGGATCGAATCGCTGCGGCGACCGCGGATCAAGTAGATCGTCGACGACCTGGGGAAAAAAGTCCACTCGAAGCTACCGAGAGAGATCAAATCGATGCGAACGGTTGTCGCTCGTAAATGTCTCGTCAATTTGAGGGGAAATCTTGGAAGAGGAGAGAGAGCTTAGAGTTTCTCCAATCTCGCCGGATTCGAGCCGGGGATAGAGAGCGACGAGGCTGGCCGTTTCTCTCCTCTTCTCCACGAATCGAAGAAACGGTATCGCCGGCTCGAGTCGTCTCGAGAAAAGCGGCGGAACTGACAGCCGCTCAACCCTGTTTCCAGCCGGAATCCCTTCTGTGGAAACTCGTTAAAGGATGCTTCCTTTTCTAGTCGCTTTAACGAGACGACTGCACCGACCTCGTCCAGGGGGAGAGGCGGTCGCCGGCCTGGGCTTATCCCTGTATCCGAGTTTATAGACTCGCGGGATTTCTTGCGGGCATGAGTCCCCTCCCCGAGGTCGTCTCAAGCGAGGCGATCCTTTCCCTTATCGTCTCGTTCCTCTCTCTCTCTCTCTCTCTTTCCGTTTTTCTCTACTCGGAAGGAAGGGGCGTCGTTGAACGACCACCCGCGAGGAACGGGGGAATTTCGACCCGGGACATTTAATTAATTCCTCCGCCGAGATATTTGGGTTTCTGGACCACGTTGAGTACCCCCGGGGCCTCTCACCGGCCCCCAAAATCCTGATTAACGGAATCGGGACATCTCGTTCCCTCTCCCAAAAATTGACAGGAGATTAACACCGCGGCCCCGAGCCGACCCCACTTTCGAAGCTACTTAAACGATCAACGTTTACCGTTAAAACGTTCCCCGATAGTCCTGGGACACCATGTTTGATCACGCGCATTATGTAGGCACGGTACCGTTTGATAGGAAACGAGTTTTTTTTTTCTTTTTTTTTTTTCACGCGTTTCAAGTGTCCTTAACGACTCCGTTATCGGCGAGTCTCGCCTGCGTCGAATTCCTATTCGCCATAATTTTATCTCGGAAAAAGGGGAATCCACTCGTGAGATAACCCTTCCCGTTTCATCCTGCGGACTTTGAAATTGAGACGTTGGAAAAAAAAACAGGGGATATCCATTAATCATCCACTAGCTAGGGAATTTATCGAACGTCCTGTTGGAGCGGGTAATTCAGTTCAATAATCACAGCTTTGGACTCGATAGTCGCACTCGTCGAGACTAGGATTAACCTCGTGTAATTGACGATCCTGTCGAGGACGAGAGTGACTCCTTATTCCCTCTGCCCCGCAGGTGGAGAACGAGTGCGGCGAGATCCCCACGGTGCTGGTGCAGAACAAAATGGACCTGATCGATCAGTGCGTCGTGGATCCGTGAGTATACCTAGGACATCGACTCGGCGATCAGTAGAAAAAGATCGATCAATGGTAAGAAGTATTTTCTTACCTTTTACTTATTTTAATGGAACGTTGAATTACTCAGGGAAGAGGCGGAGAGACTCGGCAGAGCGCTAGGGTGCAAGCTCCTGCGGACTTCCGTCAAGGAGGACGTCGGCGTCGTGGGCGTCTTCAGGCACCTGGCCTCGAGGTGCCTCCACGAGATGCGCCGCTGCGAGGACGACTTCCAGGAGGACCTGAGGCTGTATTCCTCCGGACCTAGGTCACCTTCCGTCATAAGTGAGTTTCTTTTTCCGTCTGAAAATATGCGTTTTCGCAGTAGTCGCGCCTCGGGAGCACGTAGGTCCACGGTGGTAAATCCTGTACTCGCGGGCCATCCTTTACTCCTCTTATTAGCATTACTTACCTTTATTCTTCTCACCTTAGCTCGTGTCGTCCTTCCCTTTTTCAAGATACCGTCCGGAGGAATCCTGCAGGTTCCTCGGTTCTGCTTCGGAACGAGCGTCGCTCCTTTCCATCCAACCAGGCCGACGTTACTTTCCTCCCCGTCCCCGACCCCGTCGACTCCAAGGATGTCTCCGTCTGGCCCGGGACGTTACGTCGCGGGTTTATCGCGCCATTGGGAGGGAAATTTACCTGCTCGTAAAGATTTACAGGGAATGTGACCGGAGTCCACCCTCGGACGGCGGGGCGGCACGAAGGCGAGCAGAGCGATAGGGTCGAGAGGTCCTTGATCCTGGGGCACTTAGCACGTGGGTGGGAGGCGCTAGATCGTCGGTTCCCCCGTGGCCTGCAACTCGGATCCAATGCGTTGATTATTCCTACGAGTCATCGGAACCGTTCCTCTCCGGTCCGAAGGAGGAGGGAACTGCGAATGGAGTCACGTCCTTGCGCATCTTCGTCCTTTTTGCGCCCACTTGGGGGGAAACGACGGTTTATTGGGCGTGACGATGATCTCTCCGCAAAGATCCGAAGGCTCGTACGCGAGGCGAGGATATCGAAGCCGTGATCGTTCCCTCGGAATGTATCGCGGACTCCTCTAGAGGATGCTCCTTGCACTCGATTCGCCCCTCCTAGGAGGTAACGATCACGTTTCTACGAGAAAGTCCAGGACGTCCGGTCCTGCGTGGCGCCTCGCTTCGTTGGGTTTATAGGAATTTCACCTTCGGGGCTACTAGAGGTTTAATCGCGTCGCGTAGAGGTGCGCGAGCGATATTCCTGGGGTTTTCTTTTCTTTGCCGACCCACCTTGGAATCCATAATGCCCACCGTCTCGCTCTATTACCGCGAGTTGTTTGACCAAGCCTTCCATTACCGACACTTTAGACCGGTATCGGCTGGACGAGTAAACGTTATCGATTGGGAATCGAGGGTGACACCCTAGCACGCGAGGCTATTTTTTAAGAAACAACCACCCAAGCTCGCCTCCAAGTGCCTAACGAGCACCTTCGACGGGTACTTAGATCATTCCATCCTGGTTAGCTCGAGCCACCTCGAAAGGCGTACTCGCCTGAAAGGAGAATTCGAGCCTTCCGGAAGGGGATGAAATCCTCCCCATGGAGGGTCGATTCCCCGGCTTCCGTTTTACACCCTGATTTAATGGATTACGTTTTAATCTGACTATTTTCCCCAAGGTCAAGAACGACAAGCCGATAAAAAGACCCCGATGGAGGCGTCCACCTTCGAGGCGACTCGGGCACGCGACGAGAACCGGAACGTGGGGAAAAAAATAAAAGAAAAGGAAAAGGACCTCCCCTAGGCGTGGAAAAATTATTAAACGGTTGCGCCTACGTTTACACGTACATTCCCGACAGGTGTAGACGTCGGGTCGCTAACGGAATGGTATATCGAAGTTCTCCTCGGAGCATGTCCGGCGACCGCCAGGGCGTCACGCGAGCCCGCGGCGATAACGCGCGTCCAGGGCCTCCAGACCGCACCTGGTCGGACGTAAACGTGCTCCATCGAGATCGATACCCTCCTGGCAGGAGTTGTGGTCAGCCGGTCACGCGAACCGAGCTGGGTTTGTAATTCGGAGCGCCCATCGGCCGCCTGCGAGGGGACGCGGTAGAAACCCGAGGCGATCCTCGAATCTGGGCCATCGAGATCGTCCAAAAGGCCGGCCGGACTCCTCCTTCTCGAGCGAATCCTCCGATAACCATGCGAGTGACCTCCTAGACTACGCAAACCCCGCGGGATGAGATTTAATTAAGCGTGACGTTTGTTTTCTGCGGGATCCGCTCGACCGCTCGGCGAGAGCACTTTCCTTTGAGATCGCGCGTCGATCTCTCCGCGTACGAGGGAGGAATTCCCAGGAATGTCTCGAGGATTCCGCGGATATCGACGTCGAGTCGCTCGAATGCCCCGTGAGATGCATGCCTAGGGCACTCGTGTGCTCTTCTCGCGAGCAGGGTCTTCCAACTTGAGGGATACCTCGAGAAATTCCAGGTCGCGATAGGAAATCCTCTCTTGGACGTGGAGCGTCTTCTGGCTCTATCTCGCGCATTTCCGCTGGATCTTTCTGGGTGGGTTCCAGGGGAAAGCGGTCCGCATCGACTGGCCGTTAATCCCGGTTTTTCTTTACCGCGCTTCCCCCGGATCCCCATGCGCCTTGGTATTGCGATTAATAATTATTAAAATTAACTACCCGGGGTACTAGATTTTACAATGCGTCCTCGGTCGGTTAATGCATTCCCGGGTGGCTAAAATAAGTTCCCTCGGTCGTTCCTAACTCTCGTGCGAGGAGTATTTATTGTTAAAACTCGAGTATGAATCTAGCACCGACTTTCTATAACGGCTACACGTGGTGGGGCAGGCTTTATACTCCTCGCATATCATCCTTTCCGAGTGAAACCAGGCGGGAGGGAGAAAGACTCGAACACCATTGCTTCTCGCTGCAACGACTCGTCCTTCTCCGTCGCCGTAACAAAAGCGAATGACCGGTAGAAAAATGCGCGATCCTAGCGAATCGCCGGGAATACTACACGTCCTGAAAACGTCCTGACCGGAGATTTCCCGGCTGTATTTTTTTCCCTTATCGGATGTCGTAGAAAATTGAGTGCCATAACGTGCCTTCGGGTTTCGCCAGGAAGCCGTCGTCGAATGTCCCCGTTTCAAGACTTTTGTAGACATCTGTGGAATTTTGATGTCTTCAATATANATATATATTTTTTTTTTCTTACAGGCGCATTTAGTCCCAATGGATCCACCGGTGGGCGCAGTGCGGGAAATGGAACGATAGTCTTGCGACCTGGAGGGAAAGCGAGGAGCCACAAGAGGATGAACTTCATGAAGAACGCTTGCAGAGTGTTGTAGTCGCAATCGTGGGTACTTTCGTTGCTCTTGACATTCTGGCGAGGATCACTGCGGGGAAAAAAAAAGGATTTTCGAAACCAGGGAAAGTCTTAAGAAAGCAATTTTTTTTTTTTTCGTCGGATTAGATCCAAACACGAGTCGCGTTACGAGACTCCTTGAATCGGGACGAGGGGAGACGTGAAAAGTCGACGGAGTACCAATGCTCGTAGTTTTAAGCAGCCAATTGTAAATATGTATGTACCTTATTTTCATACATCCTCGATTAAGAGCAACTAACGGTTCTCTTTTTATGGGTCTTATAATTTTATAACGATTATTGTAACGACGGCGAGAGAAACCTCTCGGTCCCCGACCATGAACAACCAAGATCCTCCAGTTTCCGGTCTTCGGGAAATGTTTCTCCCGTTCCCAGGATTACAAGTATTGAATAAATGCTTTAAAAGTGCAGCTCGCTGAACAAATATTCTTGAATAAATACTCATACGTTAAGGTGCGGGAGTGGCGGTTTATTTAATTTCATACAATAACGAGGCATCCTTTACTCCGCAAGCCGAACCTCTATATCTAAATTATTATGAAAAGTGGAGTTGACTTTAACGGTGGAGAAAATGCATGCGCCTTTTGTATTTGCTGTATTATCACCGATTGAATGTATCATACCTCGTGTGTCCAGTATTTTCCTGCAGTAATCCCTGATTGGTCCAAGCTTATCGCAGAAGTGATAGGAAGTGAATCTCGGTGTTCGTATGTACATTATATCTTAACGTAGAACATGAATGAAAGCTTACATCTATGGTTGGCAGCATCGGTATCACTGCTTCAAAAACTATATATTTTTTAAACTATTAAGAACAGAAATGTCAAAATATGTAATTTTAAGTTTAATCTTCTGCCAACTATTATGTTTACAATTATGCAAAATTACATGACGTGTGCAAAAATAGGAAATACAGAGTGCATTGCGGACAATTACAGAAGGTAAAATAAAACAAAAAATATACTGAGCCAAAGAATTTAAAAAAGAATCAATCGTTAAGTTCTTGTTGATTATGAAGAAATTATAACATATACACATATATATTTTGTTGATACTATGGTACATATGTGGACCGTTCTCCCAGTACTTCGATAGTCAACAGCTCGGTTCATTTGATTTCCATGTACTCTAAAAGAGAGAACCGTCTACCCCTTACCATTGATCTCGCAAATGCACATTTCAGTGAGTCCCCAAAAAATCATTTGATTAATTTCAATATCTTATTATCTTTTCTTACTAAAGAGAAACAGAAACGTTCTGAAGCTGTATACATTTAATGTTCCGTTCTGTAGTTGTCTACATTGATGAACATGAATTTCCATTCATTCCATCGAACAGAATTATTCAAATCTATCGGAGCGAGACTAACCGATGTTTCCAAATATCTACTTCTTATTATCGTTCTTCATTTTCCTTTTAAAACTCCTGATGTATAAGTTGCAGCTTGTAGCAGGAATGCATCCCTTTACCAAAAAAATTAAAATCTTCATATGAGGATTACATGTGGTACCGTGGTGTTACTTTGTATCCATTGTGACACAGCTTTCTTCCACTCTCTCTCTCTCTCTCCCTCTCCCTCTCTTGTTCTCCTGCTCCTTTGCACGGAATTCTTACGATGTCAAGTAATCATTCTTGAAACACAAACGCGATAAAGTCCTTTCCTTGAACTACTCTTGCGTTGTGACTTCACTGGTCAAACTGGATGGTATGCATTTTGTCAATGTAATCCAATAATCCCTGCAGTCGTTTCCTTACACGTTTCTGGTCGTCCAGAGTACAGCCAAGAATAGCAGTTTCAAAAGTCTTATCTGACTGACCAATGGCATGCGACGAGCATGCATTCATAAATGATGCACAGCGTAACCTGGTGCCACTTGGATCGCTACGCAGACCTATTACTAGACTGTCGATCAGGTCATTTACCTAATGTTGCAGGAAAAGAATCACTCAAACTCCCATCAACTGTGGAAAAGTAAATACAATGAAAAATGAAGGTATAATTTACATCACTTACCTGATGCAGTGCTTCTTGTTGGATTTGGTCTCGCTGGATTTTCACAAGAACATCTACAGTTAAGCAACGCATAGACAGCCTTTCAGCATATCTCAAGATATCATCTCTGTCATCTACAACAGATATTTTACATTTAAAATGTTTATTTCTTTTATCTAGTTCAGAATATCAGTGATAAATCATGAATATTCTCAAACGTTCTAGATGTTTCTATGTCAAACTCATATAAATGGTTATATAATTACTTTAAACATTGTAACTTAAAAACACTTTAGATTTGATCACAAACAGTAGATTACATACGATTGTAATTCTTGAATTCAATAGAAACATGCTTTTTTTATTTACATTAGTCAATCTTAAATTCATAGCAGACATAACCTTCAAAGTACTCATGTGATAAGGGTATTAAGTTCAAATGATATTTTAAGCCTTTTCCTTAAATTTATACAAAACAATCAAGTATTGAAATGCTTTTGAATAGAAATAACATTAGTAAAACTTTAATCGCGCCAAAGATGAGCACACGACTTACGTTCTCCCAGTGAGCACATGAGCTCGTTGTTCCGCAGAGTGTCCAGTGTAGTAATTAAGGTATCCTTTTCTTCCTCCAGTCTCCAAGCATCCTTTCGAAGCTGCTCGACGTGTATTTCAATTTCATCGAGCAAACTGACTAGCCTATCCTTCGGTTTGATATCAAAATCCGTGTCGGCACTCTCCATGATTAGTGGTAATGGACTTTCCATTCCTTCAAAAACTATTCAAGCTCCGTTTTATTGAAATTACCTGAAAAAGAGTTAACAAAAAAATTGCGTTGTCATCCCTCATAAAAACGTTGAGCAAACGCATGCGAAACGTTTGCGTTTTAACCGCGACATACACATAGCAGCACGAGGAACCTTACCGAAATCAGCGTTAATTCCTTCCAACTCAATTATGCTCGTTTTTATTCGTAATTTTTGCCACGGGATACGCCGCAACGTAAAACGTCGGCCTCGTTCTCGAAAAGAATACTTTTCAGTAAGGTGGCGCGAACGCGACGTCCGCCTCGAGAATTCCAGCTCTTCGGGCCGAAAACGGACCGCGTCCGATCGACGACGCAACAGCGACGACCAGCGACGACGAACGACGATTAACAAACGACGATTCCCACGTCGAAAAAATTAAGAATCACCCCAAGAGAACACCTTTCTAGACCATTCACCACGGTTTGCCGGTTGCGTCTACATCTGTCGACAGCTGACCAGCGCAACGCACGGCAATTCTGAAAGACGCGACACTCGGTGGCGCGCAATGGAAATATTCCGCCCGGAAGTGACCTCCGCTTTCTTATATACCAGAGCCTTGGGTGGGGAGTTTCCGACTCTCCGGCGTTCCCATTGGTCGAGCGGGCTGCGGTCAGCCAATGGGAACGCGACTTGGACGCACTTCGGAGTGAAGGGAAATGGAGCGGCGCACCTTCGCGATCGCGCCTTCGTCGACCTTGGCTTATCTCACCCACGCATGGATATCTCCTCTGATATATATATTATGAAATCACGCAGAGCCATGAAAACTAATTTTCCACCTCGACGTTGATTAAACGAAGAAACCAAGAGAGGGCCGTTTAATAAAATTCGCAGTCGAGCACCGGTCAGTGCGCGCAACCCGATTCCAAGATGGCGCCACCCAAAGGAGCGAGATCGAGGGAGAGTCGTTCGTCTACGACGCGCTCGCCCCCTGACGGCAGGCAGGGCAGAGCGAATAGTTTCTCGGTTTCCTCCGTTGGGGGTGGACAACGGTTGGTCTTTGGACCTCTTGTCTAGCCTGGGGCCGAACGAATCGGGAGGCTCCCGAGTCCCGCTCTCAAAGGATGCGTCGGCGGAGCTAGTGGCGACCTCGGCTGCCCAGGGCCGTTCCCTGGCCGTTGCGGCGTCGCGGCGCCCCCCAACGAGTCCGGAGGCCCGCCTGCCCCAGTCTCGAGCCTGCTCGAGTCCGCTCGAGTCGCCGCCAGGAAAGCAGGAGCGGAATCCGCGGGACTCGCGCTCTCGCCGGGTCTTTGCCGTCTTTTCGGACAATTCCGGCCTCCCGGGTCGGCGGAAGGCCTCCCCCCTCAGGTACTCCGGCATCTCCATGACCAGCTGCGCCGTGAGGTCGAGCGGCGCCCCGCCGCCCAGGTAAGCCGACGCCTGGACGTCGGAGTCATCGAGGTACCGAGGGAAGCCCGAGGATTCAGCCCAGGAAACCACCCTGCCCGTCACCGCCCATATGTGATATGTGTGCCGTGCGCGTTCAGGCGAATGAGTAATCATGTACTGTCAGGACAAGGGCTCGGCCGCCTCCAAGAGCAAAGAGGGTATGCACCTGAATTTTTACCTTTTTCATGTATCCAAGCCTCGTGGACCCTGCATTGCTGTTGGGATTTTTTTTTACGGCACAACACTCCTGCTACGGAGCAGATCGGAACGGGAGATTTTTCTCTGGACTTAGAAAAATATGTGAAACCGTCTTCTTGACAGTGGACTCGATTTGCTATATTTAATTTGAGCGCGTGTTAGCTATGTTGTTGTTTAGATGCTTAGTGGGGTGGATTAAAGGAATGAAAAAAAAGATTGCCCCGAGAAGAGGCGATTCAATTCCTTTGTTGTATGTAAATGGTAGAATATTTTATCAATCAGGAATGAATCACGTTTTATCCTGCAGGAATTTCAAATCAAAGTGCAGGTGACAAGTGCCAGCATGTCTACATATAATGTTTTAGTAATGTCTAGTCTCGTCGATACCGATTTATAAAATGATGTTCCGGTATTATTATATTATAGTCTTTGGTAAGTGTTCCGTCAACTCCATAGATAGACAATTGTCCCAATATTTTTACCCTCAGGAGCGTGTCGAGTACATCCAGGTCAAGAGGGTGGAAGAAGTCTATTCAGAGATATGGCAGAGTATAAGTCTATTCAGAGATGTAGTAGAGATGCGAGATTTACATAAAAGAAAATTACCATTCATCCCGCTCCAATGGTTGAGAAACCAGAAGTTCCTTGGAGCCCCTTGTCAAGATTGTCATCGTTTCGCTATTCAGAGTCAAAGACTATGTTCTATTCATTTTAAGGAGACATTTGAGACAAGATGTACAGACCCATTCTCTCTTCATTTTTAAATTATTTTTTAACGCTGTCTGAGAATTCTTTAGAAATTGGCCACATTGTCGATAATATTTACTATTAGGAGTACGCGTTAAGTGCTTGGCTAAGGCTCTAAAGCATTTAGTTTTTAACATGCAAAACGTGAAGTTGAAGTCAATAAGTCCATTGAACGAAACAGCTGACAGGTTGTCGATCGATCGTCCAACTTACCTTTACGTTTCTACATAAGATCCAAGCGATTCGTGGTAACTCACCAATTCCCGTTATCACCGGAGTCCCAGGATGACTATTCATCGGGCTATTCATTTAGATATACGTATATCTCTACATTTGCATGCATGCTCGTCATTAATAATAAGTACAGGCATGCTCCGTTCGGTGATGTCATTGGCCATGTAATAACGAGTGATGTCTGTCAGAGTTCAATTCCTTTAACGTCGGATCGACAAATTCCTTTCTCTTAAAGGGAGGCTCGCTAAATTATTAATATCCATCGAGGCAACCATGCGATGAATTAAATTTCCATTGGTTCGTTCCAGGATCGGTTACAATGAGAGAAAAGAAAGGAGGTGCACTTAGCAGGGTGCAGAAACTAAAGAAGAGATTGAGTCACAGCTTCGGCCGGCTATGTAAGTCATTGAAAAATTCCTCGAAGCGTTCTACTCATACGGTTCGGATACTTTCGTCCTTAAGACGCGACGACAAGCGTCTAGGATAGATCCTGCTTTAACCGATCGCGGCATTATTTCCAGCGATATCGAAGGAAGAGGCCGACGAGGTAGCAAATCGAGAGCAGCTGCCGTACAACGGCTACTCGGAGGAGTTCCTAGACCGTTTGGAACCAAACGGCAATATACCCGCGGACAAGGACCGTGGCGTGAGGGACCGACGATATGGTGAGTTCGAAGATCAACCGTTGAAAGGTCGGAAGATTAATTCGTCTTAAAAAATTGTATCAAGGTGTCGAACCGTTTGCAGAGTGGTCAGGCGTCGGGGACCACGACATGGTGCATCGGCAGCTCTCGGTCTCCAGCGACTCAAAGCTCCTCGACGAGGACATCAGAGAGGAGACAAGGGTGATCCTACGACCGCGTCGTCCACCTCGACCCAAGTCGGAGGTCTGCCTCGGTCCGGATCCTCCGCCTAGAAGGACCAAGAGATTTTCGGCCTTCGGGGTGAGCCTGATTCTCGAGTCTCCGAGAGGAGCATCGGCCTCGGACGCGGCTTAGACGCCTCTTGTTTTCCAGGGTGACTCGCCTTTCGGCAAATCGGAGGCTTACGTTAAGCTGGAGCAACTGGGGGAAGGGTCTTACGCCACGGTGTTCAAAGGGTTCAGCCATCTGACCAACCAGGTGGTGGCGCTCAAGGAGATCAGACTACAGGAGGAGGAGGGTGCTCCGTTCACTGCCATCCGCGAGGCGAGTCTACTCAAGGAGCTGAAGCACAACAACATCGTCACGCTCCACGACATCATCCATACCAGGGAGACCCTGACCTTCGTCTTCGAGTTTGTCCATACGGATCTTTCCCAGTACATGGAGAGGTACGGCAGTGGAGGCGGCCTCGACCCGCGCAACGTCAAGCTGTTCCTCTTCCAACTTCTGCGAGGACTGGCATACTGTCATCGCAGGTAACGTGTAAAGAAATTCCTAAATCCTTCGTCTAGAGTTCCTCGCTGGACCGATCTACGTGGACGTGTTTCAGGATGGTGCTGCACCGAGACGTGAAGCCGCAGAATCTCCTGATAAGCGAGATCGGGGAGCTGAAGCTCGCGGACTTCGGGCTGGCGAGGGCCAAGTCGGTGCCCTCGCACACCTACTCCCACGAGGTGGTCACCCTGTGGTACAGGCCACCGGACGTGCTCCTAGGCTCGACCGAGTACTCCACCTCGTTGGACATGTGGGGGGTCGGGTGCATATTCGTGGAGATGCTGACGGGGCTGCCAACGTTTCCGGGGGTCCGGTGCACCTACGACCAGCTCGACAAGATCTTTAAGATCCTCGGCACTCCTACCGAGGAGACTTGGCCGGGGGTGACGCACCTACCTAGCTACAGGCCCCAACGACTGACCTTCTACCCGCCGAGGAAGCTGGGTCTCTCGTTCCCCAGGCTTTACGACATCGCCGAGGGCGACGGCATGGCTTCCTCGCTCCTTCAGTTGAATCCCGACCAGCGGATCGGCGCCGAGGAGGCGCTGCGGCACCCATACTTTGCCTCGCTTCCTAGAAAGTTGTACGAGTTGCCCGACGGTAAGCTTTTTGCCCCCTTTTACTCGCAGCTACGACCCCACCTCCCGGGTATCGCGTTTCACGAGAGCTTCCGTCGATTTCAGAGGTATCGATATTCAGCGTGGAGGGCTGCCAGCTCTACACGGAGTCACGGCAGAATTACGCGGATTCCCGTCACACGGCCCTGAAGACCTGAGGATAGGCGTTGCCAGGGTGCCGCAAGTAACTCGGACTCCTTCCCAACCGGAGTCTCGTCCCTTGCACCAGAGAAACCCTTAAGGCAACGCTCGCTCCCTCTCTCGGGACTGCTACGCGAGATCTTCCCTCATCCCCATCGCTCGTGGCCGACGCCGACGTCGCCGCTATCGTTCATGGCCATCGACACCGAATCCAGGACCACTAGCATCCACCGTCCCGGGATCCGTGGAACCCGTGGAACCCGTAGGAACCCCCCAACGGTGGACTTTCGACCCCCTTTCCCAAGGGACGACCGACCGACTTGGGAAGTCTCCCCGTGAAACTCGTAGTGCCCCTAATGGCCGATCTGGGAAACTTCCCCGCGAGTCCACCGTCGTCTCCGCTAGGCGATAAGAATTGGATTCCCCACTGGGCTATCCGTTACGGTCGGCATGAACAATACGCTTAAGTACGAGAACGTCTAATTAGCGAAGTTACAAATCCCGCGTACATCGAGTACGAGTTTAAGAGATACGCCGTTCCCGGCAGAGGCCGGGACGCCGCTCGGGAGGAACCACGAAAGTAAGCTGCTTAGGAAGACGAGAAGAGACGAGAGAGATGTATTTTTTTTTTATTTTTCAATTTTTTTTTTTTCTTCTCGAAAACGCATTTGCACGCTGATTCTAGAGAGCGAAAGCACGCACGACCCATCCTCGCACTTCGTCCAAATACTAGATTTAGACTGACACCAATCAAAAGGAAACGTTGAATTATTAACGGGAGGGAGTCAGGACGACCCGTCGTCCGCAGTCGAGAGGAGGAACAGGGACGGCGGATGTCGGCCGACTAGCGAAAATATATTAGGGTTATTACTGCAATTACTTAGGAAGAGATGACGAAAAGAGACCTTTGGAAGATCTGTACCGCTCCTAGGGAACTCTCCGCTATCCGGTGTCCCTATTTCGGAACCCCCCCTCGGATTTTCCTCGACGTCCCTTTCGCCCGGTCTTGGGCGACGCGTCGGTGTCCTTCCGGGTCTTCTTTCGGAATCGCTCGTTCTAGCGGCGGTCTCGCGATCTTGGCAAATAAATAGGATTACTGGGGCACCGACGCGTCATCTGGTGCTACGTGCCACCGGAATGGATTATAAGGAATGGCGAGGCATAATTCGATTATATTGGCGCCGTTCGTAGTCGCGACGGTAATAGTTTAAGAACCGGTTGATTCATTCTTCGGCTAAGTTAACCGGCTAATTAATTATTTATAAACGCCCGTCCGATCGCTGTTCGGACTTTTTTTAGGCTCCCGACGATGTTCCATTAGACGGATTTTGTACGCGGTTTGGGGTTTTTGTACGACGGTACATTGTTCTCTTTATTTTTTTTTTCTCTCTCTGTAAAAAATATGCGATTTCTGGAGTCGTGCCGAAGATGGGTCATCCGGTTTCGGTAATTGTAAGCAACCGCGGGTAGCTCCTCGGCGTCCTTCTGGACCCCGAGGGTAGGGAATTAATCGGTGGTAGTCGACCGAGATTTTGTAACTTCGTAATTCTAGCCCGAGCCGGGGATTCCGTTCTGCTATAAAGCGAACGGAAACCGTAGAAGCCCCGTAGACGTCCTCGACGCGGAGTCTCGCGTCGCCGGAGATCGACCGGGCCGTTCAACGCGGAAACTCGCCGGTTAGCTTCTCCCGTTTCTTTTTCTATCGTTTACGAGACGTAATCTTTCTCGACTAGCGGACGGTTCGGCGATAAATTACCGCCCCCCCTCGTAGATCCTTTATTCCGGCTTATAGTTATCGTTATACACGGCTCGAGGTAATGGTAGTCACGTGACCGTTTAAGTATTTTATCGAGCACAGGGCTGGTGGGGAGGAAGACGCTGATTCCGTTAGAAGAATGCTAGGGATATGGGTGGCGAAATTAGTAAATGTATCCTTGTAGTTAAGGGCGTTCGAGGGAACGCGAAACCGTCGCGGTGGAATATGTAACCGGCGTATCTTTATCGAAAGTCGCTCGGAGTGATACACATTTAGACTGTAAAACCGAGACTCGCGGAAACCGAAACTGGGCCTTAACGGCTGGATTTTCTTTTCTTAATCGCGCGATCGAGCCACGTAGACGATGTCTTTCCGGCGCGCCGATGTCCCTGTTCGTTTCGCTATTTTTTTTTTTCTTTTCTCTCTTTCTCCTCTCTTTCTTTTCTTTTTGGAGATTTATTAAAACGATCATTGGGTACCGGCGTCGCTCGGAACTCGGCGGCGAGATTAGCGAGTAACCTTCTAAGCTAGCGATTAACGACGTAAGCGGCGCTACAGGTCTTCCAAGATTTTGTTTAAGCCACGACGACTATTACGGTTAAATATTACTCCCTCGTAGGTTATATTTATACCAACTTTTTCAGCACACCACTCGTAGAGATATATCGGCGGGACTGTTTCGAGGAGGAGGGGTTTGGAGCGCGAGAGGAGTAGGCGGGGGAAGGGAGCGGGAGGGAGACAGAGATATCGATGAGGTTTTTCGTGGGAGCGTTCTTCTCCGAGATCGCGTCGTGGTCTCCGATGGTTCTTGTTTCGGATGAGACGCGCAGGTGGTAGAATTGTATATAGAACACCAGGTTCATAATTATCGATGACGCTGAGATAGCTGAGCTGAGACTAATAAATGTGACTTTGTAAGAAAGGGCGTTGCCACGGTGGAATCTTCGGCACCTTCACCCGCTCGACAACGCTTCCTTTCTTTTTTTCTTTCGCTTGGCCCGGTTTTTCGTTCGCGTACCGTACTCGTCGAGGAGATTTATTGTAATACGTACGTCACCTAAGTGTCAATTATTGTATGCCTTTGGTTCCGCTGTAATTATATTTTATTTGTACTTTTTCTAAGACGCCTGTCCATCCATCTTTTGCCGTTTCTCTCGACCGCTATAGTAGGACCGGATTCGCCCGAATTCCTCTAGTGGGTTCTTAATGCGATTTTGTTGTTAATTAATCCTTGCATGGTGTTCTATATTCTGCATGGTATTTCGTCCTCTTGAGTCGTAATCTTCGCGCTGACGTTTGAATTTTAGCGCGTAGGAGATTCGGAGGTTACGGGGCGCCATCTCTGGACGCGTTCCAGAACTTGTTACTCGATCGCGCCGTCGATAAAATTTTATTGCTGTGTCAGTTTTTAATGCAAAATGTATTTACAGCGATTCTGGGCGAAGCGTCAATTATTTTAGAATTAATTGGCTTCGTGGTTCGATTGCAGGTATGTCGACGTACCCTTAAACCGTTGCTGATTTTTTTTTTTTTTTCGTACTATTGCCGCGCGTTCTTTATAAAATCAATTCATGTAAATGGATCTCACTTGCGAATCCCGTTGCAAGGGAATTTCTGACAAGGTTTGAACTGTCGGAATATATGGAAAAACACGATTTTTTTAGTTGTGCGGCACGAAAAGTCCGCCATATTGCGGGGGACGCGAAGCGGTCCTAGGCAGAAGAGATATATTATTTTAGCATCGGGTTTACACAAAGGGTCCTTCGCTATGTTTATTTAACTTGGCCTCTTTTATCCGACTTACATTACCGCGGCCTTCCTCTTTTTTTCTGCAGGATGCCGGATATGTCAGGAACGAAGGGAAGCCGCCGAAGGAAAATTTGAAATCTTCCCCGAGCGACCTCAAGGTGACTCGAGCCCGCAATGAAAAGCACTGGAAAGACGTCTTCTGTAATATCATTCTTTTATTGGACTAGTACGCGCTTTGGTTACAGTGGTAATAATTGTTCTTAAGGCAGGATTTTTCTTTCTCAGGAAATGTCAATCTCTGGGGACCGTACGATTCCGATTTTCAAGGCGACGACCGCCTGCACGATGCCGGATAAATATCATACAACCGAATAAATATAAAGATCTAATTCTAGGTAATATACGTTTTATATATATATTTTTTTTTAGCACTTAATAGCCGCGTCGACTGATCGAGTGGACGACCGGAAATAGGACGTCGGAAGTCGAAATTTAGTTTGAGCAGAATGTGAAGAAGCGACCCACTTCGGGTGAAACTTAATAGTAGGAAAGCTGCGTCTCATGGTTATTCCTGATTGGCAGGTTTTGATGGCTCGTATGGTGGAGGTTTTGGATTTCCTGCGGTCCTTGCTGTCCCCGGTATTGCCCGGAACCGGACGACGTCGAGGAGGCCGAGGAATTGCAATTGTTGTTCAACAACATGGGACTGCCGGCACTCTGGATGGCGAAGGGCCACGACTGCAAGAAGTAACGTAGATTTTTATTTCTAAACGGCATCGAGCATTATTAAATTGCCAATCTTTCAGAGGGTGCTTGAAATTTGCACAATTTTGCCGGCTACTCGAGAGGAGGAATTTCGGTTCTTCAAACAACGGAACCAAGTTAGATTTAATGGGGAGGAGGGTTGCAAGTGATTCGGTCCACCTGGTCGGACGTAAACATAGAAAATGCCGCCGGCGATGGCGTTCCGCGGCTCGACAGCTCGATTGGACCCACCTGGGCTTCTTCCGATCCGCAAAACCAAGTTTCGTCTCTAACGGATAGGAAGGAAGACCGAGGAGCCAACGATATTTGTTTCCCTACCCAAAACCGTACGGTATTGTTTAGAAATTGTTAGTTTGAAATTATGCAGAGCGGTAGAAAATTTGTAGGGCGATAGAAAATTAATGAGGAATCCGATTAAAGGTTCCGGCCAACTTACGAGCGCCAAGGACAAGGATCTGGTGGTCTCTCGATGGGCATCCCCGTCGTCCCTGAGGACGGCCCTCAGGTGAGCGATGTACGTCGCCGCGAGGCGCAAAGTGTCCAGTTTGCTGAGTTTGGTGTCCGCGGGAACCCACGGGAGGGTGGTCTTCAACCTGCAGAAGGCTTTGCTGAGGACTCTCATCCTGGCCCTTTCCCTGGCGTTCGCGGCGTTCCTGGGAGCCCTGCTCTCTAAATCGTCCCTGCTGTACTTCTCCTCGGGGGCGAACTCGTCTTCCTCGATGTCCAGCGACGTGGAGGAAGCTCTTCGCTTTCGAGGCATCCTGAAATCGAGTCGTCCTCGCCGTCAGATTTTGGGATAGCATTTTTTTTCTCCCTTCGAGGAAGATTATACGTCCAAGAGGTCACGAGGAACTCTTCCGGATGATTTCGCATTTCGAGGGCCGAAGAGGAGGAGAAATTCAGCGTCCGCGGATTTTTCTTTTCACTCACCTGTCGATTCGGGCACTGCGCGAGGTTTTGGGGGCGATGAAAAATTCGGGGGACAATGGGGTTCCAAATTTCCGAAACGTTAGTCTTAGCCGAACTCGCGGAACTAATTGGTGACGGCGCTAAGCGGTCTTTGGGAAGGGTGGAAAAAGGAGGGGCGGAGGCGAGAGGAAAAGGAAGGAAAAAATGTTCGAGGCGAAGTCGAGCTTTCCTCAAATTGGGCGGAGCTTTCGGCTGCCACCTCCACGTCCTCCAGTTCCTCCTCTTTGCTTCGAGGAGATCCTTTTAGACGGGAACGTCTTCGTCTCTCTTCCGAGGATCCAATCCGAGAAGCTGCTCGGCATCTGCGCCCACCTGGACCATCCCCCGCGTCTCTTCGGGACCCTCCTAAAACCCTCAGGGGTCATCTCACTTAATTCCGGCTCCTCTTCCGGTTCCATCCTTTCCATTATCATTCCTGAGAAGGACTTGGATCGTGGAACCCTTTTCGGCGTTTCTTCTTTGCTTTTTGGAGATTCGTCAATTGAAAAAAAAAAAATGTTTGATAACAGAAGGCTCGGGCGCCTTGACGTATTAATCCCGTTAAATCCCTCGTCGAGTGGCCGTCGCTCGTTTCGACGAAACTGGGATTCGAAAAGATCCTGTAACACGAGGTGTCTTCCCGACCCCGGACACGTCTTTTTTAACATCCGAAGAAAGGTCCCGAGTCGCAGCCGAGAAATTCGAAAGAAGGGCTTTGCAACTCGACACCTTCCGAACCTTGTAGATCCTGAATAATCGCCCATCGCTCTTTCGGAATTAGAAGTGTCAATGATTCCTCGGACCTAAATTAATTTATCGTTTCCTCGTGGGAGAAAAATGTTAAGGCATACTTTCTCTGGTGTAAGATTGCATGAACTTCGATAGTTAGGAGCGAATGGCTTGTTGCATGTATATATATGTTTCTCTTCGATAATTTCAAAGAAAAAAGGGTTTGTCAAAATTAACTCAACTAATATATTAAATGTTAATGAACGATGTATTTACATATACATACTTGAGCGTAACTAAGATGATTAAACTAGAGACTTTTTTCAAAGATATCAAAATTAGTTTAAGATATCGAATACATGAAACAGAACATTTTTTACTTCGCTTAATCGTAATGACAGTGAATGGCAGCGTATTAAGATTTTCAAATTCATGAAACTGCTATGTCAGCTTTTTAAGTTTGTCTTCGTACATTGCGCCAAAGAGTGGATGCCTTGTTTTCAAATTTTTCGGGAACGGTACACTCGTTGTCTCCACAGATGGATACTTTATTTTTGCATTTCCACTAAGTTTTCGACGTACCGTTAGTGCTCCAGCAGGTTTCACGTTAACTATATAACAGAGTATAAATAATTAATGTGGATGAAGGAACTGTTCATTTTTCCAAGTAAACGGAATGTAAAATAGTGTACCTGTTCTATATTGTTTCTTCTGCTTCCCGGCATTGAAGACGCAAGTAATATTTTCTTTAATCCCTCGCTGAATAGCATAATAACTATCGTCTCCAATTTTTAATTTGCTTCTTTCACCCAGTTGCAACATATGTCCACGCAGCAGTTGAGGATTAACCTGTAATTTTGATAAATGCATGATCCCCATCTATATAACTTGATGTAGTATTTTTTGAGTCCAATTTACCGTTATTGGAATATCCACTATCCATACGTCTTCGCTATCGGAAATATCATCGAAACTGATCGATGGATCAGTAGAGGCAATGGCCAACTTCTGAGTTTCCACTAATTCTTGAAGCTGTGTAAATTAATTATCATACATTAATTTAATATTTAATTATAGTTTAATAAATATTCAATTACATGGCCAACAAAATATGCCAAAAATCGATGACTAACCGTTTGTGGTCTGGTTCCTTCATCCTCTGTTGCCGATGGCAATTTTTCTGCTGTAGATTGGGACTGTTGGACATCGGCATCCATTTGTTCAATACCGTTAACACCATTACAAGGTTCGGTCCTCTTCAAGATGCTCTTCCTAGATTTAACAGGTTTGACCGGTGTTGTACCAAGCGGTTCAACCGATGTGTTGATTTTAATTGACTTAGACCTTTTTACTGGTTCGGACGTTTCCGTAGTGCGTTCCATGAGAACCATTGATCTGTTAAGAGCGGTGTTTAACTTTGTCAAGGAATCTTCCTTCCCAGAATCCGACATCGTGCTAAATATCCAAGCTTTTCTTTTGGACTTGGGTACGTCGATCGAAGCAATCATACATGACAGTTTTTTTGTTATAGAAAATAATTCTGTTACACTACAGTCATCGAATCATACCTCTCTCAAAATTAATTTTAAGGTTAGATCCCGTTACATATTTTTCAAAAGTAAACATGTAAACCTCCACGTTTACATGGATCAGTTCAACCACATAAATGCGCCGCTGTGACGGTCGCCATATTTTTTTGCTAGAGGATTTATTGATTTTCAAAATGTTCTGCTAACGGTACGGATCCAACGGAATTAACCAATGAAAAGAAACGACGAAACCACAGGAAGTTAATTGTAAACTTGTTATAAAACCACCTTCATTAAATACTAATTTTACGGCTTGAAACTGGCTGATTAATAAAATAATTTTGCTATAAAGCTGTAATCAGGAAGTGCATTTTAATTGAATCCTTTCTTTTAAATACAATTTGCGCGGGTGGCTTATTGTTGTTGGTCACGATTGGACCAATCAGAAGCTGACACATTCTTCTATTCTTGTTTCTTTTGCTTATTGTAAAAGAAAAAAGCAATATTTCTTCTCTCTCACACTCACGGTATCTGATATCCTTTGTTCCTCCCTTATCTGACAGCTGTAACATTTTAAACATACCGCTCTCGCCTTTACAATCGGGCACTTTGGGGAGATCGGCATCGTGTACACTGGACTCCATCGATGGCTTGCACCTGGTTCGCACTGCCCTCTCCGGCCGCGCAGAGTACTAGCGGCGGGAGCAGCGCGGAATTCGAATCGCTCGAGGGGCAGAAAGGATTTCCTAAAGAAAATAAATATTTATAAACAAAAACAATTAATGAAAATTATTTTAGTATTACTGTGGAGCGTCCCTGACCCACCTAACGTAGTTTTCGTAAAATAATAATTTACAGAATTTTATAAAGAATATAATAGAACATGTTCTATTAAATGTTAACAAGTTTCTTAGTGATTCAATTGTTCCATTCACTGAACCGAAGTTAGAATATTATCTTAGCTTAAAAGAAATAGTTTCTAAATATATATACAGTGAAATACCGTCGGAAAATTTACGACGCATCAA